GGTCCACACTGCCACTACACTGCATCCTGCTGCTTGTGGAATCCTTCCTCGGCGTCAAGGCCGCGGAGTCTATATCCGAGTGCGACTCGCCAATTACGGAACCTGCACTGTACTTATTGGCAGTGTGGCCTCTCCGGCGTCGGCTCCACAGTGGGCCAGACGACCGGTGGAGGCGGCCAAAACTCTAGACGCGTTTTGAGCTCCGGAGTAGCTATACAGGAGTCGAACCGAGCGTGTGACCCCACCAATGGATTCCTCGTTCGGAGAGCAATCCATTGGTGGGGTCACACGTTCGACTCGAGTCCCATTTAGCGACTCTGTTCCGTTCTGAAAACTATTTCACTTACATCTTTATTTTTCAGACACGTATTCGGTATTGTTTTCTGTATTAAAGCGCGCTGGACTTTATCGGGCCGATCAGGAATTGTTTGCACACTGTCTCGCGCAGAGTAAGTGGAAGCTGGGCTGTGCTGCCAGCCGGTGTGTTCACTTCTCGGGTGCGACTTCGGTTGTTGACAAGAAGCTGGTGGTGAATCCGTAGCAACATGGGCCGGGGCGACAACTCGCGAAGCTGTTCAACCTGACTGCCGAGAGTCAAGGCCAGTTGCCCTCGCAGCCCCAGCGGCCCCACCGTGTCTGCCGTGCGTGCTGCCCCCCCCCCCCCCCCCCCCCCTCCCCCTGCGACGCGCGGAGTGCCATTTGACGAATGTGACAGTCCGGCCGCAGAAGCCGCAAAATTTCCTTTCGCCTCGCTCCCCATATTGCATCGCGTATTCTATCGGCCGCGGGGCTCCCCGCTGCGCACACCCATCCGCCGAGGAAGCGGTTCAATTTCGGAGTAAAAAGAGTTAAATTAAAAAAACAAGCTAGGGCCCGCCCTTCCGTCGAACCGAGTTGCCAGCTCCGCTTCGCTGCGCCGGCAACTCGGTTCGACAGGGGGCCGGCCCAGCTTGGCCTGCCGGCGGCCTTTTCTCGGGCCTTCGGCCCTCGCATCAGACCCAACTTGGCCAGTCGAAGGCCCGGGCCTTCGGCCCGCTCGCATCACACACACCGTGAGCGGGTAAAGCAAAGTTATCGATGTACCATCGTGACTTAGGCCCGCCCTTCTATTCACAATATGCAATAGTCCTTACACTTTTTACTCCAACTGTCCTTAGAATATGCCCATTTCATTTGTCTCTTCGCCCTCATTCCGAAAATACCCATATTTGCCATGCTACTGCAACTCCTTGCAATAGAGGCACAGCAGGAGCGCAAAACGAGTCCGTCGCACTTTCCATAACTCATGAAGGCGGGCTCCTGGACCCCCCTTCCGACCCCTCGTTGAAGAGGTCTTGCCAAGACCTATCGAAAACTTAAGTAAAAATTTTCAGTCGGTCGACCCCCTTTTTTGAAGATCCTGATGTGACTAATAGACGAAGTCGGGCTCCTGGACCCCCTTTCCGACCCCTCGTTGAAAAGGCCTTTGCTGAGACCAATCGAAATCTGCAATAAATTTTTTTAGTCGGTCGACCCCCTTTTTTGAAGATCCTGATCTGGCCAACTTGTAAAAGCGGCCGATGGGGTCGGGACCAGGTCCATTCATCTTGTTTCGTCGCCCCGATTCCAAAAATACCCCTATGTGCCCTGCTAGCACCAATAATGGCGGAAATCCCCCTCCCGCTCATGTAAACCATGATGCACCTGCAGCAGCCCTTGTGCGACCCGGACGGGATTTGCACCACCGGATTATTTGTTTGGACGGTACTCCTGAAGTACCCTCCAAATCTGGTTACTCTAGCTCAACTCCTTCCTTGTACACAGACGCCCAACAACACAACAACAACACAACAACACAACAACAACACACAGACCAAGGCAATGCATAGGCCCTCCCCCTATTTTTTGAATAGAAGGGCGGGCCAAAAAGTGAATAAGTTTTAAGTGACCGAAAATAAAATGCTTTGTTAAAATTTCCTGGTGTAGGTGCAGCCGTTGCCAAAGGATTGAAAATGACGAATTGTCCGTGAAAGTGTCGTGAAGAAAGCTCGGGCCGGCAGGGCGGGAACTACGTCGGCTGGCTTTCTCTCTCTCTCTCTCTCTCTCTCTCTCTCTCTCTCTCTCTCTCTCTCTCTCTCTCTCTCTCTCTCTCTCTCTCTCTCTCTCTCTCTCCAACGTCTTCCCTGGACCGGGCTGGGCGGTCTCAGAGATCCCCATAACTGTCAGACTTGCCAATCGGACTTGTCATTTGGATCGGTTCAGATCAGGCGGTGAGGTACGGCTATGGCCTGCGTTGGGTATTTTCGGACCGTCCATATGATAGTCATGGGCAGCCCGCGGCTAAGGGCTCAAAGACTGCACGTGTGTGTGTTTGTGTGTGTGTGTGTGTGTGTGTGTGAGTGTGATGCGTGTGAGCCGGACGGACAGACACCACCTCCCTTGTCTAAAATGGCGACAAAATCTCGACAATATCGCGGTCATCGATCACCCTGGGAGTCGCGGTTATATAAACTTGTGCCACACACTGTTAAGAAAAGATCTTGCCAATTTGTGGAAGTTTGTTTAAGGGATAAAGCGTGCTACAATCACTTACAGGGAGTTTTTTGTTTTTAAACCCTTTGCCCAGAGACGCTGGGGTGGGGAATCGTCGCTGTTAGATCCGAACAGTCATGGATTCGTTCGTTGGTGAACAAACGCAAGCTGGGGAACACAACACACTCATGACCACTTCGGTCATCCTGTTTTTCTGTGAACTGTGCCGGAAAGTGCTAGAGATTTGCCCAAGAGTCACACACACACACCCACACACACACACTTGCTTGCACACACACACACATACACACACACACGCACACACACACACACACACACACACACACACACACACCCGCTTTTCCAGTGTGTGGCCGACTGGAAAGACTACCTCTTGTCACGGTCACCGAGGCGGCCGAGCCATTGTCCGGGCGGACTGTACCAAACGAGTATACCAAACGAGAAGTACAGTCCAGAGTGCAGCAGGCCGCGCTTGAGATGGACGCGTTGACCACGCCCACCACGCGTCTTAAAGTGTCGCAACGGGTCGCGGGGCCGCGCGGGCCCGCAGCATCCCCTCACTTTCTCCGGCGGGCCTTCCCCCGGCCGCGGGCAGCGCTCTTGTCGCTCCGTCTCTCTCGCACCCGACGGTGCCCGACGGCTCCGCGAGCGCGTCCACGAGTGCGAGAGAGACGGGGCGAGGTCGAGCACGCGTCGTGAATTTGGGGCCCCGGGCTGCAGGGGATGCCCTGGCGGCCCTGGCGGCCCCGCCTTATCGCTGACGTGGTGGCGCACTCGTAGTTCCCCAATGCATAATGGCGGCCCACAGTGGGCCAGAAGACCGGTGGAGGCGGTCAAAACCCCGGACGCGTTTTGAGCTCCAGAGTCGCTGAACGGGACTCGAACCGAACGTGTGACCCCACCAATGGATTGCTCTCCGAACGAGGAGTCCATTGGTGGGGTCACACGTTCGGTTCGAGTTCCATTTAGTGACTCTGGTTAAACAGGACTCGAACCGAACGTGTGACCCCATCAATGGATTGCTCTCCGAACGAGGAATCCATTGGTGGGGTCACACGTTCGGTTCGAGTCCCATTTAGCGACTCTGGAGCTCAAAACGCGTCTGGAGTTTCGGCCGCCTCCGCCGGTCTTCTGGCCCACTGTGTCGTAGCTGCGGGGCAGTCGCACGAGCGAATTTCACAGTGTGGAAAGGCCGCCCTGTCATAGGAAACGGGATGCCCACTATCAATCGAACTCAGCGGCCCGCCTCTGTCCAGCTGTTCCAACTGCACTGCTTGCGTAAGTACAGTAGCCGGGGTGGAACTGTGCAGAGCGGCCGCTTCTCGGAAGTGGCGACCGCTGGGCGCTACACTGCGCTACGCCGCGCTGGGCCGCGCTGGGCAGGTGTCGGAACCAGAACATCTTTCGGTGGCTGGCTGCACTGCTACACCGACAAAAAGCAACGACTGCCGTGTCGAACGGAGATAACGTGTTTTCGGCGAAGCCGGGGGCTCTGCTGATCACACTATCTGTGGAAAACGAAACTGAGCGGTACGATTTGAATGTAATTTTGAACGTCTTCGGTTTTGAGGTCAGTGATGCGTAGGAGAAAATGGCATGACAGGTAAGTGAGGCCTGCTGTGCAACCACCAAGGGGCAGTTCCATCCGGCCTTACCACTCTAGACGCGTTTTGAGCTCCAGAGTCGCTAAGCAGGACTCGAACCGAACGTGTGGCCCCACCAATGGATTCCTCGTTCGGAGAGCAATCCATTGGTGGGGTCACACGTTCGGTTCGAGTCCCGCTTAGCGACTCTGGAGCTCAAGACGCGTCTAGAGCTTTGGCCGCCTCCACCGGTCTTCTGGCCCACTGTGCGCTGCCGCGCTGCTCGGCCCGATGGCTGGCGCGCTGGCTGCTTACGCCCTTCGCCGCGAGGTGGCGCTGCGTCCGCGCGCTCCGCCGCTCCGAGCGCCGCGCCGCGCGCCGCTCCAAGTCTGTGCCCGGTCGCGCTGGGCTCCGGACCGCCGTCTCTCCGCGCGCCCTCTCCACGCGAGCGTGTGTGTGTGTGTGTGTGTGCAGTGGCACGTGTGTGTGCGTGCGTGTGAGTGCTCCAGTGCAGTGTTACGAGTGATACAGTGCAGTGATGTGGTGGCGGTGATGATGAAGAGCAATCAGTGATCCCTGGTGCACTCCGCCCCCGCGGGCCGCGGCGACGCCCCAGTGCGCGGGCCCGGGGGGGCACTGGGAGGTGGGGCGCCGCCGGCAAGGCCTTGGAGGCCCTGACGACGGCCCCGACGGCGGCCCCGACGGCCCCCAAGGCCCTGGCGCCGCGGTGCGCGCGGTGCGCGGTGCAGGCCGCCTCCTGGCGGACATGACCAACGGGCTGCACCACCCCGGCGACCAGATGCAGCTGCCCCTGAGCTCGCTGCCGGTGCCGGGCGACGCCGCGTCCCCCGCGGACTGCGTGGCGGGGACGGCCGCCCCCACGCCGCCGTCCTCCGGCACCAAGACCAAGCGGCGGCGGGCCGCCATGGCCGACGCCTCCAACAACAACAACAATAACAACACCAGCAGCAACAACAACAACAGCAATGACGACATGTGGTGGACCGAGAGGGTGCTGTGCGAAGTGCAGGTGAGTGCATGGCCCGCGGCGCCGATCAAGCGTGGCGCACAGTGGGCCAGAAGACCAGTGAAGGCGGCCAAAGCTCCAGACGCGTTTTGAGCTCCAGAGTCGCTAAACAGGCCTCGAACCGAACGTGTTACCCCACCAATGAATTCCTCGTTCGGAGAGCGATCCGTTGGTGGGGTCACACGTTCTGATTGAGTCGTATTTAGTGACTGGAGCGCAAAACACGTCCGGGATTTTGACCAGCTCCACTGAGTATTCGGTGGTCCTCGAAGGCTGCCAGTTAGACGACACATATCACAGACTCCAGAGTGTCACTCGCAACAAACTGCATTCGCATGCGGTGATTCCACTCCCAGTAACTCAGAAGCATGACTGCCATGAACACCAGTAGCCATCTGAAATCTCCACTCTAGTACAGTACCACAGCTGCATGAATCATGAGACTGGGGATAAGGTTCCTTCCAATCAGAGAGTCCGCTTCCTGCATTACGGCACAGAGAAAACAATCAATAAAAAACTTATGAAGTCAATCATTAAAAATCTTTTTTTTTAAATGAAAATTTCTTGATTTATGGCTGCTAGTTTTAATTACCAGATGATTTTGTTCATGGCCTTAATGTTAAGGTATATCTAAAACCAAATCCTTTCTTTTGATTATATTTGAGGAAATTTCTTCGAATGAATGAACTGTTTTGATTTTTTGGGTGGACGTTCCTGATTTTCCCCTCTGTAACTTTTCGAAGCGGTGTGCTGGTGGCAGTATGGGTCAAGGGCGGGAGCGGGTTCGGCAAAGGGTTTCTCGATTCTGTCAAACTCGGCGCGTCGCCGTGCGTCGGCGTGCGTCGGTGTCAAGGCTCTGAGGTTGGCCGCCTCAACGATGGCAAACCACAAACAGGCACGCACTGCGGAGCCAAGCCGGGAAGGAGTTCCAAGTATGGAGGCCTCCTCGCATAGCACCGCACGCGCACGCCCGTGAAAACGGAGGTTTCTTATCAAGGAAAGACAAGAAATCAAACACGTTCGCCAGCCGAAATACCCCGCGAGATAAGCTCTTCGGCAAACCATGACTAGTGTGCATTAGTTTGTTTCCGGTCCGCTTTGCTTTCGTCAACATTTTTATGTTGGTTCTTTTTCTCAGCGTCGTGGATGGCAGTCAACATGACTTCTTTATTATTACTATTACTACTACTTTTATTGATATTATTATTTTGATGATGATCATGATGGTGATGATGATCATGATGATGATCATGATGATCATGATGATGATGATGATCAAGAGTGCATGAAATTCCTAATTTATTTCCATTTAAAATTGAAAATAAATAGGTTAAATCTGTGTGGTTTGTAAACACCGGCTTGAATCTAGTTTAGCTCGAAGATAATTTGTAGATGCTCAGACGGACAGGTCGGTCCGTATGTGAGCGGCTACGAGAGCGGTGAAAGGAGAGGGGGTGGATCAAAAAAACGGTAATAGGTGCCGTGAAAACGCGATCGAGCTGCTCGGTGTTGTCAATTTTCACGGGTGGTAGTTAATCGTAGAGAGCGCTGCATGTGGGGTTGGCATGTAAATGTGGACAAACGACGAGATGGATGTTCGGAGGAGAGAAAAAAAAGTATCATCTGCTAGGGAAAAGAGTGAGTCCGGCATTTTGAGCCCCAGAGTCGCTAAACAGGGCCCGAACCGAACGAGTGACCCTACCAATTGATTGCTCTCCGAACGAGGAATCCATTGGCGGGGTCACGTTCGGTTCGAGCCTCATTTAGCGACTCTGGGGCTCAAAACGCGTATCGAGGTTCGGCCGCCTCCGCCGGCCTTCTGGCCCACTGTGCGACGCCCAGACCACTCCGCTTGACGCTTTCGCCGTGATAACGGTGTAGTGCACGGCTTGCTTCCCTTGCGCCGTGTGGAGCCCGGCACGTCTGCCCCAGGTTGCCATGGTTACCGCCGTAACCACGTAACGAACGTAACGAACCCGTGGGAGAGCGACTCGGTGGCATCGCTTTGCGCCCTGCACTAGAATGTCCGTTGAGCACAGCAAGATTTGCAAGGAGGTTGTAAAATTTTGCTTTATGCCAAGTTACAGGTTAAAAAAATTCAGTGATTTTTGCCTACTTTCCGGACTCCCTGTCCAGTACCCTCGGGCGTGGTGATTACCCCAACTGCCCCTTTCCTGGATCCTCGCGCCTGGTACACGGCTTTGCAAACCCTGTAACTTGTGAAGGGCATCCCTGGTGTGTTCGCAGTGTACCAGGCAGGCAGTCGGTACCTGCAGAGGCACCTGCAGAGATGAGATGCAGCCTGCAACTATGTGAAGGCTGTCGCTTCCGTTGTCAGTACACTGCCAACAACCCGGGCCTCCGGACTGGGGTTGTCTCAGGCAGACGGATACTTCTTAAGAAGTAATTGAGCTGAAATGTGTGGATTGCCTGAAAGTTCACAGCATATCTGACAGTCGCTAAATGGGACGCGGACCGAACGTGTGACCCCGCCAATGGATTGCTCTCCGAACGAGGAATCCATTGGTGGGGTCACACGTTTGGTTCTAGTCCTGTTTAACGATTCTGGAGCCCAAAACGCGTGTGGAGTTTCGGCCGCCTCCACCGGTCTTCTGGCCCACTGTTCTCCTGGTTGACGGCGTCCTCGGCGTCCCGGTTGCAGGCGGAGCACCCCGGCGAGCTGGTGCGGACGGGCAGCCCGTACTTCCTGTGCTCGGCGCTGCCGACGCACTGGCGCTCCAACAAGACCCTGCCCGTGGCCTTCAAGGTGGTGGCGCTGGGCGACATCCTGGACGGCACACTGGTCACGGTGCGCGCCGGCAACGACGAGAACTGCTGCTCCGAGCTGCGGAACTGCCAGTCCGTCATGAAGAACCAGGTGGCCAAGTTCAACGACCTGAGGTTCGTCGGCCGCAGCGGCAGAGGTGAGTTTTACTCTCAATTTCGAAAGATTTAAATTTAATTTGATTTATATTTAAATTCACGGGTAGGGGAATGACGCTAATGAGACTGGGCGGCCAGCCGCACCGCCTTGTCCGGCCTAATCCCGCAGTGTGGCAGTCCCTCCCCTTTCGCTCCGTCTCTCTCGCACCCCTACCGGCCGCCCTCGGGCCGCCCCGCGAGTGCGAGAGAGACGGAGCGCTGCTGGCCTGCACCCCCGCGGCCACTAATAAGCATCGCGCATCCCCCGGGCTGCACAGTGGGCCAGAAGACCGGTGCAGCGGCCAAAACTCTAGACGCGTTTTGAGCTCCAGAGTCGCTAAATGGGACTCGAACCGAACGTGTGACCCCATCAATGGATTCCTCGTTCGGAGAGCAATCCATTGGTGGGGTCACACGTTCGGTTCGAGTCCCATTTAGCGACTCTGACCGCCTCCGCCGGTCTTCTGGCCCACTGTGCCGTCGTGACGCGTGCGACGGAGCCTCATCCGTATTTTGCAGTGGCGCAAACGGACGCACCCAAATCCGGCAGCCATGCTAATTTTTCGGTTTGAGCGACGACGACGTCACTGCCCTGCAGTATTTCGAGCACGACATTTTTAGCGCGGCGCTGCGTCACTGCGCAAAGCACAATCGGTTCCGAGAAGAGAGAGAGAGAGAGAGAGAGAGAGAGAGAGAGAGAGAGAGAGAGAGAGAGAGAGAGAGAAAAGTAGGCCACCGTTGCCCCTCACGATGCACGCGCGTCGCGCGGGCTTGCCTACCTCAGCCTGCATGCACCTTTCCTAGATTATTTTCGAAAACGGCAAGGGCTCTGGCCCTGAAGTGCGTCAAGATGTAGTAAAATTTGGGGAACAAATTTAACTGCAATAATAGTTTTTGGATTTTTGATTAATTTTTATTAACTGTGATGATTTTTGATGATTTTTGATGATTTTTGATTAATTTTGATTATTTTTTTGATGATGTTGATGTTTTTTCCTACTGTTGCCCGTAAATCCGTGTGGGCGGGGGGTAGGGGGAGCAGGGAGGGAGAGGGTGGAAAAGGGTGCGTGATGGGCCGCGGGCCTGTCCGACAATATTCGGGCTGAGCGAGTTGAGTTGCTGTAGTGATTTTGGACGACCGGACAGCGACACGCCAGACCGCACGGCACGGCACGGCACGGCACGGCGGGGCAAACTGCGTGCACGCGTCGCCAACGCATCGACTCGAGTCTGTTTCCAATAATTTCAACCACTTTTCTGCATTTTTTTTTTTTTTGAAAATTTTTAAGTGTCTTGATGTCTAATTTAGAATTGAGACGATCTATGAACACAGTTGCAAACTTCCAACTACTAGGCCTATGTGACATTGAAGAAAAAAAATTTGCCTTGCCAAAAGCCGTCCGTTAATTTGAACTAAACTGCGATTTTGAATCAAAAGGTATGCAGTAAATTTTCACCAAGCGGTGGTGCTTAAATACACGTCATTTTCGACTATTATTCTTGTCAATCAATTAATTTGTTGGGCCGGTAGATAGGAAGTGCTGCTTGGCGTGGCCAGGCCCGACTAGGCCCACCCGATGATGCATTCTTCATAAAGATCACACCGAAAGGGTTGCCTGTCCTGTGCGCGCCCAACGACCACACTGCCAAAAAATACAAGAATGATTTATAAATATAGCCGAGAAATTTCCGCCTGAAATTTAAATCAATTATCATTCGAGTGCACGGCTGATTTTCTTGCGGGACGTTAAACGTGTGTGTGTGTGTGTGTGTGTGTGTGTGTGTGTGTGTGTGTGTGTGAGCAGATGGCCGACTGATAACGCAAGGCCAGTGTGTATATAGCACACCTCCCAACCAGCCAACGGGCAATTTGTGGCTCACCCCATATGGGAAGCCGCGCCGTGCCGCGCCGACCCGAACCATGTCGGATACACTAGAAACAAAAGTGCCCGTTCGAATGTAGCGCCACGCGGGCAAAGGGGTTTGTTTTCTAATGTCACGTTTCTTTTTCTAAAATAAATGACAGTTTTAAGAATTAAAGAGCATTCACAGACCAAGTGCCCTGAGAAAATTACAGAAATCGATCGACTAAAAATTTAATTGATTTTCCTAAGTTGCCTGAAAATGACCTAATAAGTATGTATTTTAAATTTCGGCCTGAAACAACAGTTTGTCAAATTGAGATTGGAATTTTTTTTAAAAAAATAAGTGGGAGTGTGAGGCAGAGATGAATAAGTGAGTTCCCTTCTAGTGACTGTACATCCTGTCCGTAATTCGCGCCATTCGCCGAAACAGTGCGGAGATCGCATCCTGGAAGGTCCTGGAAGGGAAGGCATGTGCGGAGATTGAAAAAGGGCGCCGGAAGAGAAACATGAAGAAGGAAAAAAAAGGATTCGAGGAAGGAAGGATCATGATGCCGATCACTCGGCCTGATTCGCGCGTTGCCAATCATAAAAAATATTGAAAGATTATGTAGTTGAAGACAAGTAGTAGACCCTGATCAATACTTTTGAATATTCATCAGGATCTACTACTGGTCTACTACTTCTTTTAATATTCTAGAATATTGACCAGGCTCCACTTCTAGTCTTCGACTTAGATTGGAAACGCAGCAACCAAGTAGTGTTAATCAGTCAAGTTGAAAACAAAAGAAAAATCAGAGAATCAGGTTATGCCGATCCCTTTGGCTGTTTCCTCTCTAGCTCGTCTTTTGTTTCGATCCACGCCGCCACGTTGGCAGTGTACTTACCCAAGCGCCTCGTACGTGCGCAGAGCCGAGCTTGGTGCTTCCCGCAATTATTTGGAATCCCTCAGAGTCGTCGCTCTGTCTCTCTCGCACTCGCGGGGTGTCCCGTGTAGGTGCAAGAGAGACACTGAAGCAGACTCCGGGCAGACTCTGCCTCCCAGGATAGTCTGTCTCTCTCTCTCTCTCTCTCTCTCTCTCTCTCTCTCTCTCTCTCTCTCTCTCTCTCTCTCTCTCTCTCTCTCTCTCTCTCTCTCTCTCTCTCTCTCTCTCTCTCTCGGCAGGTGATTCGAACGCCCCCCGTACGTGGCGGCGCTGCCATTGCTTCCCTACAGTGCCGACACATTCTGAAAAGCAAACTTCCCGGCAGTCGTTGTTTTTGCCCATGTTTCGTTCTGTTGCCGCGCCACTGTGATTGTCGTTCGGGAGGGAACTGTTCTGTGCTGGCATGCACAGTGCCGAAAGGGTTGCCAACCTTGCCTGCCTGCACACGCTCGGTTCGAGTTCCATTTAGCGACTCTGGAGCACAAAACGGGTCTAGAGCCTCCACCGGGCTTGGCCACTGCGCACTGTTCATGTGTTCGAGAACTCGATTTTCGTCCCTTTTTTCGCGGATTGTTGCTGCAGTGACAGTGAGTAGTTGAACGATAAATCAGCGCGTGAAGTAAGGTGCCACAAACGGGAGGCGGCGTGCTAAATCAATCAGCCAGTGTTATGGCTCGTCGCCCCACGGCCCCCACGGCCCCCAAGGCCCCCACGGCCACACCCCCCGCCGGATTTGGCCCAAATGTGGGGCGGGCCTGCCTGCCATGCCCACCGACAGGGCACCTACCTGGCAGCGGCAACTCCAATGCCAAGTCCAAGTCAACCAAAATTATGAGGCGACGGTTAAGTTTTGTGACAAGTCCCATAACATTGTAGTCCACTGTTCAAAATTCAATTCTCGAAGTTCAACCGAAAGATTGAGTTGCACACGAAATTTGCCCGTCTCATGTTCAAAACTCAACGGAAATGACAATTTGCGAAGTCAGAGCCGTCGTCTCTTTGCGGATTTAAATGATGTGAAATGACGCGAAGGCGCTACACTGAAAAGTGGCGAAGCAGCTGGGTGTTGCAATAAGAGGATCGTCATCTGCCCTCCAAGCGACAAGAGCAGATGCAGTTCATGCTTCTCTTTTTTTTGGGATTCGTGGTGTGTGTGTGTGTGTGTGTGTGTGTGTGTGTGTGTGTGTGTGTGTGTGTGTGTGTGTGTGTGTGGCGCTGGCCCGCTCTGCGAGACATGCGCGTGCCATGTGTGAGAGCGCCACGCATGGACGCTATTTAAATGCTGAATCACACAACGCGCTCGTTTGCAAACGACGCGGCCAAATGAATGAGTCTTTGGCGGAAATGCCTCAGTCGCACAGTGGGCCAGAAGAACGGTGGAGGCGGTCAAAATCTCGGATGCGTTTTGAGCCCTACAGTCGCTAAATGGGACTCGAACCGAACGTGTGACCCCACCAACGGATTCCTCGTTCGGAGAGCAATCCATTGGTGGGGTCACACGTTCGGTTCGAGGCCCATTTAGCGACTCTGGAGCTCAAAACGCGTCTAGAGTTTTGGCCGCCTCCACCGGTCTTCCGGCCCACTGTGACGCGGTGCGCTCAGTTCAATTTTTGAAACACTTTGTTCCACGAAGTAGACGGGGAAGTCCGGAATCAATTTCCGTCTCCTGCCGCGCGTTTTGAAAGCGTCCCGGCTTTGCGGGGCCGCCTGGTTATTATTGAAGTGTTTGTCACCTGGCTGTGGTCGCGGAACCTCGGGGAACCTCGGGGAATCGGGTCGAGACTTGTTGTCACCACCCTGCCGCACGGCCTGCTAGATTAGCAAGGCACCGTTTGATTCTGGATCGCGTACACTGCGAAGTGCCTTCACCTCGTGGTTGGCTCGCTGCCGCTTACACAGCCAGAAACTACTTTCTCTTTGCGGCGCTTTGCGGGCATTCCCCGCGCGGTAACAGTGGAGCGGGCCTCCGCAGCCTCGCAGCGCACCGTGGGAACTTCCCGCCAAAACGGACCCGGCGTGCCAAAAATTCAAAAATTTAAATTCTCGCACTCGTTGCACTGTATGCTCCGAGCTGAAACTTCACACTCTCACGGTCACTGGGATTTCACCTGCAAAACGCATTGTGTAGTGCTACTGACTTGTGTCAGAACAGGTGTGCAAACCACCCTGCTGCACTCGCGTGGCCGGCCCGGCAGTCTGCTGGTCAGCCAGTTTCACTTCTACTCCCCTCCCCGCACCCCCGAACCCCCACCCCTCGGGTTTTATGAAAAATACATTGCCAGAAGTTTTTTTTTGTCAGTGCACTTGCACTCGCTTTTCGTGGGATGGATGACAGACAGTGTGTCTATCAGACCAAACGTACGGCGTCCCGCCGCAGGGCTCTCTCTCTCTCTCTCTCTCTCTCTCTCTCTCTCTCTCTCTCTCTCTCTCTCTCTCTCTCTCTCTCTCTCTCTCTCTCTCTCTCTGTGTCTCTCTCTGTCTCTCTCTCACTCACTCACGCACTCACACATTTGGGTCAGGTGCGGGAAACCCCGTTGTTGTTACATATTGCGTGTATGGCGGTGGCCACACACACACACACACAAGGGCCGTGCCCCACCCCACCACTTTTGTTCCGAAACTGCACGAATTTATTCTTAGATGCTAAAAAGCACGTGAACGCCTGAGAAAGTTAGCAAATAGCCATACTGGAAGCTGAACCCCCCCCCCCTCTCACCTCTGGATCCGCCTCTGGCCGAGGAATGCCTGACACCCCCGTGGCAGTGCCGGGCAGTGCGCAAGAGCACTGGCGAGAACGAGAACAAAACTCGGCCGAGTTGGTCCATTCACCATCCGCTTCACGGTACTCTGTGGAGAACTTGCTGCCCAAGAGTTTCTCGCGTACTAAGGATTACCAAAGAAAATCGAGGAGCGTTTTTGTGTTGCTCGCGTTTTGTTTCTTCAATCAGTTTGCTTAACGATTTATAGCCGAAAAAAAATCTTAACGTTTGTCATATTGTTCGAAAAACTATTTTCTAACTTTCCTGTTAGAAAACAGGCAGCAATCTCTGCAAAGGTGAAAAGCAGTTGTTTAAGACAGTCTTATTCAGAGTTGCGTTCAGAAAACTTTGGTTTTTAGCTTCATACTAAGCAGTTTTTTTTTCTTTAATATCTCTGAAAGGCATATGGCAGTCGTTTTATCGAAAGCAAGGTTTTTTCTTCCAGTGGCGCTGCGCCGCCGACAGTCGCGCCGCTTCCTGTGAAGGACCTGAAGGACCCTGTGAAGGAATGATGTGACCAATCGGGCCAATGGGAGACAATCGCGGCAGCGCGGCAGCGATCGGGCGAACTGGTGAACGGGATCCATTGACCGATACTACGGGAATCCTACGTTTCTGGTGTGGCAAGGGCAGTGCCTTGGAGGCAACTGTCCGTGGCAAGGCAGTCGCCCGGCGGTTTCGGGACCCAAGTCTAAAATTTGGCGAATTGGCTCCCTCTTTGTTCCAGGGAAGAGCTTCAGCATCACCATCACCGTCAACACGTCGCCGCCGCAGGTCGCCACCTACAGCAAGGCCATCAAGGTGACGGTGGACGGGCCCCGGGAGCCTCGCTCGAAAACAAGTGAGTGGAGTGAGTGCCTCATCATTAATCTAGGGTTCAAATACTGACCGGGGGCAGCATGCCTTTTTTCATTTTTTTTCTCTTTTTTTAAGTTATTTTCTTAATTTTTAAAAAAAAAATTCCTAAATATTTTTTAAAACTTTCTCCTCAATATCTTTTTTAAAAATTTGTTTTAAATTTTCACGGTGTAGGGTGCGTGTGCCGGACGTCAATACTTTGAAGGCCGCTGCTGGATGAGCTATAGGAATGCAACCCTGCTCTCTAAATAAAAAGAGAAAAAAAAGAGGCGTAGTGTCGCTCCGTGTCACTGCCAAGCCGATGGTTCCGACGCGTCCGAAAGTGACATTCGATCGGAGAGAGAGAGAGAGAGAGAGAGAGAGAGAGAGAGAGAGAGAGAGAGAGAGAGAGAGAGAGGACGCAGCCAGTGTCCAGCCCGGCAGTGTGCGGCAGTAGCGGCACTGCAGCATAGACGCCCGCGCCTGGAGGGCCTTCGGACCGGACGGACGGACGGACAGGGTGTCGACTTTCAACCAGAGTCCGGTCGACTTTGCCGCGGATAGGGTGGCCCCCGTCGGGCCGTCACCAAGTCCGTCAAACTCTTGCAGGGACGGTGGGCGAGATGCATCGCCTCGAACCTGCTCAGCAAAAGCCTCCAAACTCCTACATTTCGAGAGATTTTTACCACAAGTAGCAACCAATCCAAGCCAAAAGAACTTTTTATACCGCGCACAAAATATCCTAAATTTTTAAAAAAATGAAGGTTTTAAAAAAAAAGTTGGAAAGGAAAAAAGAAATTGTGTCTATTTGCCACTACTGGCGTGTCGTGCGGGAGGTTTATTACATTGATTGAATAGCAGATCATTATAGCGGTGCGTGTCAACATCTCCCTGCGGTTTCCAGTTTGGAAGAGAGAGGGAGAGGGAGAGAGGGAGGGCTTCCGTGCCTCCCGTTTAAATAAGCCGAGAATGCAATACGCAGCTAGCTCCGTTGAGGCGAGGTTTCAATCGGAAAGGCGCTGTCCGGATGCAAGTCTCCTATCTCTCTCTTTCATCATGTTTTTTTTTAGGGGACACACCTTTTCGTTCGAATCGCTGCTATCTGAGAGGCGAGAACCCGTAGTCCGTGCAAGACAAAAGACAAAATCAGAGTGTCGAAACCACGTCGGTTCGATGTTTGACGTCACGTACAGGCTGGCGGCAAGGTTGTCCCACGATTCACAATGTTGATGCGTTCCGACGATCAAGTTGGCGAACTGGTAACTTTATATTGGTTCTTGAAATAATTTGGACTCTGCCATTTTTATTATCATGACTTCTCATGACGAGAAAGAAAATGTTCTCGCACTGGATGAACCGAGTCGCTTGTGCCGGGTGCCGCGGGTAGGGATCCCCAGCCACTCCCCCCTCGTTCCCAAGGCTGCAATTTGCAGCGGGGGAACCTTGCACGCCCCCATCGTTGAACCTCGTTGTCGCGCAGTGTGTCTGACGGAGACAGAGACGGTGTCTGCGGGGGCCAACGCCGAAAACGACAGCCAGCCCGCCTTTCACAATCGCAGGAGTGTGCGTCTTTTGAGAGGCATTGATATAAAAACTCGACGAAAAAAGGAAGTTTGGAAAAGAGGATGCTCTTCGCGCCTAGCCGTTACACTCGGCTGCGTGGCGGGCAGGCCTACCTCTTCTCACCCCCCTCCCTCTCTCTCTCTCTCTCTCTCTCTCTTCTCTCTCTCTCTCTCTCTCCTCTCTCTCTCTCTCTCTCTCCTCTCTCCCCTCGTCAGCGTTTTTCGCGTCTCACTTCTATGCAACTACACGTCTTATTGCTTCTCTTGCTCATCATCTCCGCTGTGTCCATCTAGCCGTCCCCCTTTACGTTTGTTAAAGAAAAGTTTAAAAAAAGAATAAAAAATAATCAAAAAAAGCGGTACGTGCGTTCTGTACGACTCCGCGCGCCGGCTCCGCGCACAGCGGCACCAGAAAACAGTGTTTTGTGGTTTTTCGTGTTCATTTTAATTTCATCTCTCTCTCTCTCTCTCTCTCTCTCTCTCTCTCTCTCTCTCTCTCTCTCTCTCTCTCTCTCTCTCTCTCTCTCTCTCTCTCTCTCTCTCCTTTCCCCCTGCTGCACCTGCTGCCGGGTCTCGAGCGGTGCGCACGGCGTCTCCTCGCGTCTCTCTTTGGAAATGTTTTGGAATGCCAGTCAGTCGGATTCAACTGCTGTTACTCTCCCTCGCCGAAAAACTTGCCACTAGTTAGCCGGTTTAGCCGGCGTGAAATGGGCAGTGCTTGCAGTGCCTCGGCAAACCGCCGAATCCGCTCCAGATTTCCAGTGGAGTGTCCCATTCATGTCGGCCTAACCTAGCCTCACCGCCGGACGCACTTTCTCGACTTCCACAGTGGGCCAGAAGACCGGTGGAGGCGGTCCGTGTGACCCCACCAATGAACTGCTCTCCGAACGAGGAATCCATTGGTAGGATCACACGCTCGGTTCGAGTGCTGTTTAGCGACTCTGGAGCTCAGACAGACAGACAGACAGACAGACAGACAGACAGACAGACAGACTCGGACAGGCCAGCAGTCTTAGCGCGCAGCCGTTCCGCACGTAGGCTAAAGTAATCGCCAAGATGATCCCCAGTGTTCCCTTCAAACTACAAAACAAACAGCAAAAATATTTAAAAAAAAAATGTTGCTGCCAAAAGTTATTTCATTATGCGACGACACTGCGAGTGGATCTCGTGCAAAATGGGAATGGCACCGACGAGAGCGTTAATTCTGCATTACAAAAAAGTGTTTGTTATTGTTTTTGTTGGCGGCGGCCTTTTCAGCAACCGCAGCGTTACAACAAAAGGAGGCGGGCGGCAGAGGCGGGGGGAAAAAAGAGAGAAAAAGAGAAAGAAAATTGAAATGGCATCCTCATTGAGACACATCGCAATGGAGGTGCAAAAGTTGTAATTGCGTTTTAATAACAGAGTGTCGCGTCTTTTTCGGGTGCGATAACTCGACAAAATTGCAGCGCAGGGCGTCATTGGAATAATTACCTGCGTTGCCATCCCGACCCGCCAGGGACCCGCCGGATCTGCGGGGGACCTTCTAATCCGAAGGATGCGGTTCGTCTGTCTTTGCTGAGTGTGTCAAAGGTCGCTTCTTTCCACTGCAAAAATTGCAGCTTAAAAAAAAAAAAAAACGTCAACGCTGACGTGAGGAGCAGCTGATAAACATCTAAATTTTAGTGTAATTTTATCTGCAATGAAAATCTACGTAATTTTTGCGAGAGTAGAGATGTGAGGCGACTTAGAACATCTTATCAATTTCTTTTGCTTGGATCGCCTTTTTCAGTGTGCGGCGACTCGAATTTTCAGAAAGTTGGAAAAGTCGACTTTGATCCGTTTGCAAGAAAGTTTTCCCCCCGGCACTATTTCACCTGGATGCTGTCTGTGCCCACCGCCCCGCCCCGCCCAAGGCCCCGACCCCCCGAAGCGTCTCAAAGGACCCTGTCTCGCCCAGTCCCACCCCTTCCCCCATTTCGCTAGTAATGCTATTAGTTATGAAGCGACGCGCCTAATAACGAAGGATATATAAATAATGAGACGATATTAACCACTCCTGGAAACTTCTTCTTCTTCTCCTTCTCCTCCTTCTTCTTCTGTCGCGCTCACTCCCGCTTCCGAGCGACAGCGCGGCTCGGCCCGACCGCAAGAAATTTCATCGCTGCTTGATGTAGGTGCGCTAGGCCGCGCCGCTGTGTGTGTGTGTGTGTTGTTTTTTTATGCGCGCAGTCCTCTTCCGAGAATATGAGAAATCTAGCACACCGGCGTTTTGTGCAACCGGCTAATTTTAAAATAAAATACATTAATTTTTTTCCAATTTTTTTTTCATTTAGAACAAATTTATTTTTGACGTACACTTTTCTTGGTATCAGAAAACGATGCTTTTGTCGTTTTGACACTCGGGCCCTTGCCCGTTTCACGTTGCTGCTGACCCGTGGGGCCCTGCGCCCTTGGGGCCCTACACTGTGGGGCCTGCTCGCAGACTTAGGGCTTGAGCAGGGCTTTCCGTAAGCCCATAAAGAGAGCTTCGTCCGGTGGTCAGGCTGGGATGCAACAGGGGGATTCTTGCTCAAACCTTCTCTGGACGCTTTCTCGGAGTTGTTCGCCGACCCGTCTGTCTCTCAGATTCTGAACAGCGCTGAAACCACTCAAGTAGGCAAAAATGAACACGATGCACCAGCTAATTCGAAAGGGTTGCCAACCTCAGCTTGCCCTCATGCAAACTTGTGAGCAAAACCCAGATATTGCCGAGTAGGCAGGCTGAGGTTGGCAACCCTTTCGATACGAGTGCATTGTGGGAATATTTGCCCACTCTGAGTGTGGCAACACTGGCACCCCTGAAAACGGAACGGTATCGAACAGGCTTCGCTTGGCAGTGTAGCCGGTGTAGCCAATTGCCACATCCAGTAGCTAGAGAGCCGCAGCGGCGTGCGAGCATGGGCACCTTATGTGCCAGCGGAAATGCCTACCTGCAAACAACAACAATAATGATAATCATATCGCCTAGTCGTTTTCCTCACCTTTCGCATTGGGTTCCCACGAGCCTGAGCGAGTCGAAATAATAACAACTCGGATTGTCTTTGAGAGTCAGTCGAAATCTCGGCGGCTGGAAGCTGGATTCGAACCAAGCGCCCTTCGCTTCACAGACGGTGATTTCCGTCGAGTGGTAGTTCCCCGAGTGCCGCTGTAGGCGGCGCCACTGTGGATCCGTTTACAGGGCATTAAAATCGGTTTCGGGCCGATTACTGTAATGACAGAGACAGAGCCTTTCTCATCACAAGCTACACTGTCCACCTTCGCGCGGGAACGAGGAGGCCAGGGCGGCCACCCTGACGAAAAAAAAACCACCTGCAATGACTTTTGTCTTTGGTCAGTGCTGCCACACAAGTGGGCAAAAATCCCCGTATGTACCAGCGTCGAAAGGGATGCCAACTTCAGCCTGCGCCTACTGTGGAGTATCTGAGCTTTCGTTTCTACAAGTTGCCTAGCACGCAGGCTGAGGTTGGACTCTCTGGTGCATCGTGTTAATTTTCGCCTACTTATTGTGGCAACACTGCCTCTCGCTTGACTCCTTATTTGTTGATGGCTTTCTTGTCATTACGTTGCAAGTATTGCTCCGATCCTGCCGCTGGTCTGAAGGCAAGGCAAGCCTGAAGGCTAGCCTGAAGGTCCGAAGGTCGCCCGCCTCCAACTAGCATTTCCTTATACGCTCGGTATTAATATGTGCCCTACAGTGGCGCGGGTGACGTGGCCGGCCGGAGCTGGACCATCTGGAGGGGTCTGGAGGGGTCTGGAGGAGTCTGGAGCTCCAGAGTAGCTAAACAGGACTCGAACCGACCGTGTGACCCCACCAATGGATTCGTCGTTAGGAGAGCAATCCATTGGTGGGGTCACACGTTCGGTTCGAGTCCTATTTAGCGACTCTGGAGCTCAAAAGACGTCCGGGATTTTGACCGCCTCACCGGTATTCTGGCAAATCCTCTGTGCACTAGTCTGACGACAAACATCGCGGCAAAATAAACGCGGAGCGCTTGACGCGGACATTCGCTTTCTACGCAGGAAGAAGAAGGGTGTCCTAACCTCACTCTCTCACTCTAATTGGTGCCATTACCTGCTATTCGCCCACCTGGCCCAGTCACAATGAACCTCCCTATTGTTGCCATGATACCCGTGCCGTGCCCGGCCAAGAACTGTGAGGCATCGCGGCGGCCCTTTTGTGGTCGCACAAAAGGCCCAAGTTTCTTCGCCCCGAGTCATCCATTTCTTCCGATCCTTTATTGGAACTTCCTCTCTCCCTCTCTCATCCTCTCTCTCTCACCACCTCTCTCTCTATTTCCCTCTCTTTCTATCCCCCCTCCCCTCTCCTTCTCTCTCCTCTCCAAATTGGAACAAAAAGTGGCGGGCAACGTTTTTTACCACATGACAGGGTTAAGTGGGCACGTGGCGGGGATCGAACCCGCGACGCGTGTCGCGTCCGAGAAGCAGGCGGTCGAAATCAGGTCGAAGTGACGTCATTGTCCCGTCGAAACGGACGTAGGGCAACGTTGTTGGAGGCAGTCAAAACCCCAGACGCGTTTTGAGCTCCAGAGTCGCTAAATGGGACTCGAAGCGAACGTGTGACCCCACCAATGGATTGCTCTCCGAACGAGGAATCCATTGGTGGGGTCACACGTTCGGTTCGAGTCCCATTTAGCGACTCTGGAGCTCAAAACGCGTCAAGAGTTTTGGCCGCCTGCGCCGGTCTTCTGGCCTACTGCGCGGCGGCGCGGCCGCTTGGTGTGCCGTGGGACTGCGCCGGCTCTGCCGGCTCTGCGGTCTGCTCGGCTCTAACGAGGCTAGCCGGGCTGGCAAGGCTAGGAAACGAAATGATAATAATAAAACGGGGTTAGTCGATGGCAGAAACTATTTCGCTGCCGCGTGGCTTACGGCGGCCCCCCTACTCCGCCCGCACGCGATCGCTTTGCAAAACTACGCCACAAGCGCTGCGAATAAACGCTGTCGACAGGTGACGCTATTCGCAGGAAGAGTCGTCAGCACGGTGCGTATAGTACAGTGTCGCATGTACACCAAAAAAAAAGTGTTCGTAAAAATAGAACCGTAAAAAATTTTGGGGCCACATTGGCTACTTCGTGTCTAATAAAGTTTGACAAAAAATAAAAAATTTTCACACAAGTTAAATTATTGTAGAAGTGTAATTTTTTACTTTAGTGCAGGGCAGATATGTATTATCCCAGGTTGGTCGCGAGGCTCGCCCCCCAAAACGCGGAATCTGGTCAGGTTCGCGATGGTCGACTCTGAAAGCGCGGCCCATGAATGTTTGAGGGCGGGCCAGGGCGGGCCAGGGCCAGCAGACTCTCTGTCTCTCTCGCACTCGTAGCACCCGTGGCGCGTCCCGTGCAGGTGCGAGAGAGACAGAGAGAGAGGGACGCGATGCACGCCCCGCCGATCAGCGCGACCCTGCTCAAAATGCATATTTGATTTCATTAAAAATGGATCGCCGGTCTTTCAATTAGTCGCTGTAAACCGCAGCCCTCCGGTAAATGACAACACCGTGCGTTGCAGCCCCCCCCCCCTCTTTCCCGACACCCCACAGTGCAGTACCTACGTACAGTGGACCGGAACTGCTATACTAACTGTTCAATGTTTTACAAGAAACGTACAGAAATGTGGCACCTACCCTGCACAGTGGGCCAGAAGACCGGTGGAGGCGGCCGAAAACACTTCACGCGTTTTGAGCTCCAGAGTCGCTAACCGGACGTGCGACCCCACCAAAGGATTGCTCTCCGAACGAGTAGTCCATTGGTGGGGTCACACGTTCGGTTCGAGTCCTGTTCAGCGACTCTGGCGCTCAAAACGCGTCCGCCTCCACCGGTCTTCTGGAAAATCCACTGCGAAGCATCGAAAAGTAACCGCCTTGCATTCGGTCTGCCAGCAGGCCAGCACCACCAGTTCCGTGCCATCGCGCTGGGCCAGCGGCCCTTCCTGGAGTCGCCCTTCAGCCACCTGCGGGAGCTGGAGTCCTTCAGGAGGAAGTCCGAGGCCTTCAAGAGCCCCACCGGGTCCTCCACCACGGCGTCGCACGGTACGTACACCACACCCTAAAAGTGCCATGTCGAAGATTCTCCACACTATTTGTAGTGACGATAAGGCTGTCATTTGGGACCCCTAACTTGAATGCAAGTGAAAGTTAGGGGTTCAAGTTAAAGTTAGGGGTCAAGTTAAGGTTAACTTAAACTTTTCATATCATGGTGAAGGTTCTTGACCGTGAGAACGCGTCAGACATTATGGGACGTCCGTGTCCCGAGGAGTCACCTTGATCACCCTTGGCGCCTTCGCGCGCCTTCAGCGTTGACATTTGGTAAACGGTCGTCATTTTGGGGTTTTCCTCGCTGGATAAGCTGAGCCGGGCTGAGCCCTCCAGCAAGTTCTGCAGCAAGTTCTCCATCCAGCTCTCCAGCAAGCTCTCCAGCAAGCTCTCCAGCAAGCTCTCCAGCGAACCCTCCAGATCTTCGGCGTGCTGAGATTCGCTAGGATCGGCCTGCAACTTGCTCCCTCGCTGGACTACGGGGCTGTGCCACCCATCCCCCCCCCCTCCCTCTCTTCCTGCGATCCGGGTCCAGAACCGTGTTAGTGACACTGTATAATTAGGTGTTAGCCTGAGACTAATTATCGACGTGTCAAACGGCGTGTCCCTCCACCCTCTCACCCCCCCCCCCCTCTCTCTCTCTCTCTCTCTCTCTCTCTCTCTCTCTCTCTCTCTCTCTCTCTCTCCCTCTCTCTCTCCCCACCCCTTCTGGCACTGCCACCCCGGCCGCCGTCCGAACAGTGTCCATCTGGATTCTTATAATTATTTCTAAATCGCCTTGATTCGTCAGAGACGCTTCGCTCCTTTTCTGCTCGTCAGCGGAACAGAGGACCAAAGTTTCAAAAACTTCGCAGGGCGTTCCTCAAAATGGCTCTCGGGTCTCGGTCAAAACTCTTTCCTAGGGCAGCATGGGTTTGATTCGAGTTCCGTTTAGCAGCGAACATAACAGGCAGACCTTCCGAAACATGAGTCCCCGTTGTGTGTCCGATTTGTCGACAGTTTGGATTTGTTTGCGAACCCTTTCCGAACTTGTCGCGACAACCTGGCTGACCCTCACGGCCTACCGCCGCCGCCCCTTCGGCCAGGAAGTGATTGGAGGGGAGGGGAGGGGCGTGAAACCCAACCGAGGCCCGCCCGCCGAGCAGCGCGGCGGGGCGAGGCAAACCCTCGCATCTCGGTGGAGGCGGCTGGGCAGTTACGCCGGTACCGCGGGACCGTATGCCGGCAATGCCTGGCCAGGCCTGGCCTTGCCACCATGAAGTGCCCGACACCAAGTGCCCTGGCACGGCCACCAGCACGGCCAGCTTGTACAGCTTCAGGAGCACCGTTAGAAAGGGCGCTCGGATTTTCAAAGGCATGCTTTATTTTTGACTCCATGTTTTGATTAGACTCCCTAAAAACAAAATGTTTGTCACTTATTGATGATTTGATGACGGGATCACATGTTAAAACTTTATTGACCAGAAATCACTTGGACTTCTCATCACAAAGCTCCTATACTAATATTAATCGCACTTCCAAAAGACCATAATTTTTTTTTTTAAAACCATCAGCGCGATTTTACGCGCTCGAAACAACGAGAAACCGTATTTATATAAGATGAAAACAAGCCGAGAGTACTGCGCGCTGGGGCGCACGTTGTAACCGGAGACCGGGGAATCAAAGTCGATCAGACGAGGCGCTGGATCAGGTAGACGAGTCCGAGGTGTGCCTGCCCCGCCTGCCTGCCCGGAGGCTGGGGTGAGGAGTGAGGATCAATGAAACCCATCAATGGAGCATCAGCTGGCCCGTCCCTCCTTATGCTCTTCCTTTAAACGCCCACACTGCGAGTGATCTCTACGTGGCGTACTCGTCACCCGGTGGCGTTTGGAGCTCCAGAGTCGCTAAACGGGGCTCGAACCGAACGTGTGACCCCACCAAAATGGATTCCTCGTTCGGAGAGCAGTCCATTGGTGGGGTCACACGTTCGGTCCGAGCCCCACTTAGCGACTCTGGAGCTCAAAACGTGTCTGGAGTTCTGGCCGCCCCCACCGGTCTTCTGGCCCACTGTGCCCGAGGCTCGCGGGCGTTGGCGGTCCTCGCGCACGCTGGCGCTAGCTGCACTGCACGGATGTTCGCGGCGGCGTGCAGGCACACTGCGGGGTGGGCCGCGGTGCCGCGGTGGACCTGCCGGAGTGTGGCCCGGCCTGCCCGGCGCGGTGCGGTCGGTAAAGCAGACCACAGGTGAGGTTGGCGCCTGCCTGGCTGCCTGACTGCCGCCCTTGCAGCCGCCCTGTTTGGCTGGCTGCGCGTCTGTCCGGCTGCCGCGGGTCACTTGCTGCTGTTGTCGCGTTTTTTGAACGCATAGGTCGAGAGAAGGGGGTAAAGGGCATAGTGTGGCTCTCACCCTCTCTCCTCCCCCCCCCCTCTCCTCCCCCTCTCCTCTCTCTCTCTCTCTCTCTCTCTCTCTCTCTCTCTCTCTCTCTCTCTCTCCCTCTCTCGGTCACGCACACGCACGCACTCTTGACACGGCGGTCACGCAAGAGGTGTATCGCGTGAGCCTCCCAGTTACTTTATTCGTGTGGGTAATTTCAGCCAAACAAAAGCCCTGGCAGATGTTATGACGCGCGGCTGTGCTAGTGTGTGTGTCTGTGTGTCTGTTTGTGTCTGTGTGTGCTTGTGTGTACGCGTAACGGCGATACAAAATAAAATACATCTTATAACGTAGTGTATTACAAAACTTCAACAAGTCCGCTCAGACCAGACACACAATAAATCCACGGATTTGTCTTTCTGGCATTTTTGATTCAAACTTTATTTTCGATCTCCGTTGGTGCTGAGGCTGGCGTCGCCGATTTTGGCAGTGTCGTGAGATCGTCTGTTCGAGTAGTGGTGCGAAACGATTGAGGATGCGATCACCCGGAGTACCGTGCTGGCGAGAGAGAGAAAAAGAGAGAGAGAGAGAGAGAGAGAGAGAGAGAGAGAGAGGAGCGAGCAAGTAGTAATGCGGAGGCAGTACTGACGCAGTGCAATGGCTCATACGCCGAGACGTGATTCCATCTACCTTGTATGTGTTAAGTTATCCTCTCTCTCTCTCTCTCTCCCTCTCTGCCTTCCTCACCCTCTCTCTGTCTCCCATTCATCAGTCCGTTTGTTTCCCAGAGTTTCACTTTTGGCAGTATTGCGTTGTAGGCTGAGGGTTGCCATGCCATGGAAGCAGCCCTTTCGCCAGAACCCGAGAAACAGGCAATCCCCGAACGAGGAATCCATTGGTGGGGTCACACGTTCGGTGCGAGTCCTGTTTAGCGACTCTGGAGCTCAAAACGCGTCTAGAGTTTTGGCCGCCTGCGCTGGTCTTCTGGCCCACTGTTCCCGAACGCAGCAAGCTCGCAATTGTGCTGCTGACAGTGTAGCGTTTTCACGTAAGACGGCGATGAAGTCTCAGAAAGGACTACTGGCAGGCCGGCTCAATCACAGGGCCCAGAGTGGTCCAATTCCAAAGCTGAGCATGTCCAATTTCTAATGCCGCTGCTGTTAGCCCGCGCCTGCCTGCCTGCCTGCCTGCCTGCCTGCCTGCCTGCCTGCCAGCCAGCCTGCCTGCCTGCCTGCCTGCCTGCCTGCCTGCCAGCCGGCCTGCCGCTCCGCTCGACGGCCCATCCCGCCAGCCCCGCCATGCCAGGCGCAATCTCGCCCGGACCTGATCAAATTTTTCCTCGGATTGGCCCTATCGGTCGTTAGTTTCAATCACATGTCAGGCGCATTACGCTGTAAAACTACGCGACCAACGGACTGGGCCAGAGATGGACTTTTTGCCCCACTTCTCGGTCGTCCAGATCGACGCCTGCCAGCGAGAGGCCTGTCTAACCTAAGGGGGAAAAGATTGTCGTATTTTGCTGGGAGGCCTATCACACCATGTTCAGTCCACGGCTCTTCATCTTTTCAAGAACTTCATGGTCATGCACCATGATGGTCATGCCTCCACCATGATGGTCATGCTTCCACCATGATGGTCATGCCTTCACCATGATGGTCATGCCTCCACCATGATGGTCATGCCTCCACCATGATGGTCATGCCTCCACCATGATGGTCAGGCCTCCACCATGATGGTCATGCCTCCACCATGATGGTCATGCCTCCACCATGGTCATGCCTCCACCATGATGGTCATGCCTCCACCATGGTGGTCATGCCTCCATCATGGTCATGCCTCCACCCTGATGGTCATGCCTCCACCATGATGGTCATGCCTCCACCATGGTGGTCATGCCTCCACCATGGTCGTGCCCTCCGCCGTGGTCGTGCTTGGTCTTGCTCTCCACGTCGCCGCTCTCCTTGGCTCCCCTCCTCGCTTATTACCGGCGGTAGTGTTCGCTGCAAACTGCAGATGCTGTTGCATCTGACGCTGTCATTCCATCGAGCGTGGGAATATGACCTCGGCTTGACTCGAGGCTTGACTCGCTGTTCAGGCGCGGCGAGGCTCGGCGCTTCGCTCTCTGCACCCACACCACAAGCAGGCAGCCACTGTGCGTAATGGCAAACGAGACGTGCAAAGCAGGAACGCATTTTTTCCACCTTCATTTTGTTGTTATTGTTGTTGTTTTCCGTTGTTGATTGAGTCGTCTGTGTTTTTCTATAATGAAAAGCGGCCGAGGGAAGACTGGTGGAGGCGGACGAAACTCTCCACGTGTTTTTAGCTCAAGAGTCGCTAAACAGGCCTCGAACCGAACGTGTGACCCCCACCAATGGACTGCTCTCCGAACAAGGAATCCATTGGTGGGGTCGCACGTTCGGTTCGAGTCCCATTTAACGACTCTGGAGCTCAAAACGCGTCAAGAGTTTTGGCCGCCTCCACCGGTCGTCTGGCGGGTCTTCCCGGAGACTGTAACGCACGAGAGACCTGAGGCCGAGTTTGATCATGCGTTGCTGCCCTCTCCACTAGACTTTGAAGCCCACTGGTGCATAAAAAGAAAATAAAAAATAAAAAAGTTAAGGAAAAAGGTAGAGTTCCGGTGAAGGCGCTCCGGTGTCGCCGAGTGGCAGGTGCATCCTCCGGGCGCATGAGCTTTGACTCCTTGAAATCGAGCTCCCCACCTTGAACCCTGCAAAGGGCTCGCTTTCTTCTCACTTTTTTCGCACACATTTCTTTTTTAGCAGATGATGCGCGTTTTGATCTCCAGAGTCGATAAACGGGACTCGAACCGGACGTGTGACCCCACCAACGGGTTCCTCGTTCGGAGAGCAATCCATTGGTGGGGTCACACGTTCGGTTCGAGTCCCATTTAGCGACTCTGGGGCCCAAAACACGTCCCGGATTTTGGCCGCCTGCGCCGGTCTTCCGGCCCACTGTGCGCAGGCGGAGGAGTCTCGGCTCATTCCATCCGATATTGTTTGGGTAAAAACGAGGAGATTGCAGCGCGTCGACGACGGCACGGCGTCCTTGTTGAGACAGACGAAATGACACTCCCGAACGCAATCCGGGATCCGGGCTCATTACCAGTGTGGTTGTCTTGTTTCTGACCTGCTATTACCCGATGTGATACTCGCTCTCCCTCCCCCGCGGGGCCCCGCCTCGCCCCGCCTCCACTCATCGCAGCGTAATGTGTATGTGGCTATAATTGCAGAGATTAGCATTGTTGGATTACCGGCCCTGTGCGGCACTGTTCGGAGTACAGTGTACCTACGGCCGGGACGGGCCGGGACGGGCCGGGGCGCCATAGCTACCCTTGGAGGACTCTACTGCTTCCAGCAGCCGTTTACAGTGTTGTTTCACAGCCCAGTCGCCCACGGACTTTCCTCTGGTTTTATCTGACACTGCACGATGTGACGAGTTAGGTTAGGTTAAGTTGGTCCTGGTTCGGTTGGTAAGGTTATATTCTTGAGGGTGTTCGTCCAAATTGAATAGTGGGTGTTGCATGTACCCAAAGAGGAGCAGTTCAAACTCGGGCCACAAATGAGGTTAAAGGATGAAATTTCGGCGTCCAAATGACATCACGCGGTGCCAGTTTGACCTCATTTTTGGACTTGGTTCTGACTTGCTGTTTGGATGACGTCCGTCTGTGAGTGAGTGCCTCCTTGTCTTTTTCCGGTGTAGTTGTTCCCCAAACTAAAGCGACACAAAACAAACAAAAACGTCGCCTCGCTCGGAGTGTACTTACGCCTGGAAAAGAAAATGGCGTCGGTCTTGTAATGGAAGAGGTGGGGCAGCGGGAGATGAGGTGCTAAGGTGGACTGCTCGGCCGCTCCCCCCCCCCCCCGCTCATTTTCTCCTCTCTGACCCCCTCCCCTTGCCCCCCTTTCCTACCGGACTTATGTTTCTCCTTGTGCTACCGCGCGCGCACCAACACACAGACAGAAAAGGACGAGAAAAAAGAATTCGATGCACTTTAGCGTTCGGAAACACCTCCCGCTCTCTCGCCGGCGGGACCGTGGGAAAGGTGTTGCTGGAAAGGTGTGCCATTTTGCTCGAAAGGTGCCATCGCACAGTGGGCCAGCCGGTGGAGGAGGCGAAAGCTCTCGACGCGTTTTGAGCTCCAGAGTCGCTAAATGGGACTCGAACCGAACGTGTGACCCCACCGATGGATTCCTCGTTCGGAGAGCTATCCATTGGTGGGGTCACACGTTCGGTTCGAGTCCTGCTTAGCGGCTCTGGAGCTCAAAACGCGTCCGGTATTTTGACCGCCTCCACCGGTCTTTTGGCAAATCCACTGTGCGCCTGCGAACGGAAGGCAGCCAGGCTCTGGGGCCGTCCCGAGCCATCGGGTCTGTTCGAGTCTGTTTCGTCGGTACGTGTTCCGAGTGGCTAAGGCAGCGAAGGCAGAGCCGGCAGAGCCGAGGCGCTCGTGACGGCAGGGATAGAGTCCTGGAGTCCCTGGAGTCCCTGGAGTCCCTGGAGTCCGCATCCCCTTAATTGTTTTCCAGGAGCCGAGCCGACTCCCTCGGCCCTGCCCGGCCCTGCAGCGCGCTGCTCAAATAACACTCGCCACAAATAAAATATAATGCTCTAATGACGCTGCCATTAGGCGGAAATATGAAACAAGTCTTTTCCGTGGAATTTGGAGACGCTGGCGCGCGTGCTCGGCCTGGCTCAGCCTTGCTCAAGGTGTTGGGTTCGTCGACTCGGTGCGCGCTTCGCGTCCGGGTTCAGGGCCGCGGGTTCGATCCCCGCCAGGGGCAAAGCAAAGTCACGCCGTTTTGTTGTTGTTGTTGTTGTTGTTGTTGTTGTTGTTGTTGACGAGGTGGTGTTATTGTTGCAGAGTCCTGCACCGGCGCGCCCGTGGCCGAGTCCTCGTGGCAGCCCTACACGTCCTCCTACTCGCCGCTGCAGCCGCCGGCCTACTCGTACCCCGGCGACCTGGGCCCCACGGCCACGCCCGTGCACGGCGTGCACCCCAACGCCATGGCGCAGCCCGACGCCAGCATGGCGCACCTCCCCACTGGTAAGACCGCGGCGAAGACCCTCGCCGAGTTCGAGAGGCCCCTGCCAGAGCCGGGGTAGGCCGCCAGACTACAGCCGTGCGCGCCGGGCTGCCTACCTGGTTCGTGGCAGGCGTTCCCGGTGGAGGCGGCCAAAACTCTAGACGCGTTTTGAGCTGCAGAGTCGCTAAACGGGACTCGAACCGAACGTGTGACCCCACCAACGGATTGCTCTCCGAACGAGGAGTCCATTGGTGGGGTCACACGTTCGGTTCGAGTCCCATTTAGCGACTCTGGAGCTCAAAACGCGTCTAGAGTTTTGGCCGCTCCACCGGTCTTCTGGCCCACTGCGCGGCACTGACCTGCTTGCCGTTTGTCACAGTGCTGTCGGAGCACGGGGCGTCCGGGGCCGCGGGGGCTGCCGGCGCCGTCCCGGAGGGCGGCGGCGACTACACCAGCCTGCTGACGCCGCCGCTCAAGACGTCGCCGTCGTCGGCCGAGTACGACATGTGCGGGCTGGCGACGGCCACGACGCCGCCGCACCACCACCACCACAGGACGGCGTCGGGCGGGCCGGCGTCCCTGGCGTCGCTGCCCGCGCCCGCGCTGCCCTACGGCCAGGACCCGTACGCCAACACGGGCAACGCCTACCACCACGCCGCGTCCTGGGGCGGCGGCTCCAACTACAACTACAACTATAACTACCAGCCCGCCGCCGCGGCCGTGCCCGCCGCCCCGCAGGCGCCCTACCCGCCCATGGTGCTGTACCCCAACCTGTACTCCACCGTGAACCAGAACCAGATCCACCTCCACCTGCACCACAACCCCACCGGCGGCGAGCTGAGCGCGCTCAGCTCCGCGGCCAAGGCCGTCGGCGTGGACGTCGGCCAGGTGACGCACCAGGTGCACCACCACCAGGTGCAGCACTACGACGACGTGCCCGTCCGCGCCATCGAGATCGGCATCGACCTGCAGCAGCAGGAGCCCAGCAACGTGCTGGCCGGCAGCCTGGCCGAGGCCGGCGACGACCAGGCCGAGATCAGCCGCTACCCCCAGCACGGCCAGCACGCCCAGCACGACAGCCGGCAGACCGACCCGTCGGTGTGGCGGCCGTACTGACCCGCGTGGACCTAGTGGGCGCAGCGGACACAGTGCAAGGCACAGTGGGCCAGAAGACCGGTGGAGGCGGCCGAAACTCTAGACGCGTTTTGAGCTCCAGAGTCGCTAAACGGGACTCGAACCGAACGTGTGACCCCACTAATGGATTGCTCGTTCGGAGAGCCATGTTCGGAGTGCCATTTAGCGACTCTGAAAGGCGTCCGGGAACTTCGCCGCCTCCACTGTGAGTGGACCCAGTGTGGGCCATGGACTCGGTTGGCCACCGGGCAAGGATCTCAGCGAGGGACTAAAGTGACTGCAGGACCTTGAGGACGAGTCGAGGACTTCGCCGACGAACGAGCCTCCCTGGAAGAGGTCCACTCGCCGGAGCGGCTGGGTGCTCCTCCTTCAGTGAGGAGTTTAGGTGAATTGAACTCGAAGTGCTTCTTTTAGAATAGGAATGTTGCTGGGAATTTTTTGTCGGTGTGTTGTAGGTTACTTGTAAATTGAAATTGTGAATTCTTTTCTGGGACTCGACTGTTTCTCGGAGTTGCTGCTGCGTCAGTGCGCGGACCATGAACAGAGGAGCAGTGTTTCTCTATAAACGTGTTTGACTCTTTTAAGACTCAACAGCGAGAACAACACGAAAGTCAACTAGACAGAGTCAAATGGCGAGAAGCTGGAGAGTTCCGCTCAGAAAACTGTATTGTGATACCTGTAAAAGATTGTTGTGTAAGCGATTTTCCTAGAGTGTAAATAGCAATCTCATACGTGAACGCACTTTGGCACAAAATGTCGCAATAGGTTCCCTGCAACGACACCTTCGCGGTGTCTCGCGGCTCCTGGTCGTCGAGTTGTCTAAGGACGCTCTCCCAGGGCAGAGTTACACCCTTCTGTAAAGCATCTGTAATTTTTCCCCCATTGTACAAAACGAGTGTAATCGTGAGAGAATAGATCTGTGGTTATAATTTTGTAATATATTGTTTGTTTGTTTTTCGTCGTTTTGTAAACTTTGTTTGGCGTGTATTCTACATGTAGTGTGCCCCACCGTATCGATAGGCGATAATTTATCATAATTTTTCGGTAGTAAAAAGAAGTGTTTGAGAGTACTTAAAAAGTTTATCATATACGATATTTGATTTTTGTTCCTTGTGATGCGTTTTAAAGTTTTGTACGGATATTACAAAACCAATATTTAGGAAGAGAACGTCCTGTTAAGAAGTACAAGTTTCACTCGCACCTGCAAAAAATTGATAGTGTGTCCTTTCATGTTGTGGCTACTCCTCGTCAATGTGAAGTTGCGACGACCAACAATTCTTTTGCTGGTGACGGTATAGAAAAAATATGGAGACAACAATAAAGAAAAATATCAGCATTTGTGAGCTTTTTAAGTTGTGAGACTCCTTTCTTAGAGTTGTTGGCGAAAATCACCACGACGCACCAGTGTCGAAAGGTTGCCAACCTAAGCCTGCTGGGCTTTGTTCTCAAGAAGTTGCCTAGCAGGCCGAGGTTGGCAACCCTTCCGACACTGTTACAACGTAACTTTTTTTTGCATACGCTGTGTGATGCACCGTCCAAGTATGTCCCCGCAGTCCCCGTCAGCGTGGTCGCGGATTGTTTCCGAGTGTAGTGTACTACTCGAACACAATGCGAGTGTGACCGCACACACGCACGGTACCGCGGCTTGCTGAATGGCCTGCAACATTCACAATTAATAATAAAAGCGTTCCTCCACCATAAAGCCTGTGACGAAGAGCGCGCGGTGGCTGGCACACTCGGCACGCCTTTTTATGACAGCCGGCCTAATGCGGGCGGGACGGCAGACTGATTCCAACAGTGCTTTCGTCGCCGCGCGCTCCGCCTCTCTCTCTGTCTCTCTCTGTCTCTCTCGCACTCGCGGCCGGGAGGGCCCCAAGGGCCGGTGCGAGAGAGACAGAGAGACATGCGGAATCGCTGCTCTGCGGACTGCGGGCGCAACAGTCTGCATAAACGTCCGTCGCCGCCAAGTTAAGAGCTCCTCAAAACGTCTCTCCCTGCAGACTGATTCCGAGAGTCGTTTTCGCCGCTCTGTCCCTCTCGCACTCACGGGGCGTGCCGCGCAGGTGGGAGAGAGACAGAGCGACGAAAGCGACTCTCGGAATCGGTCTGCAGCCGCGGAGCGCGGTGCCGGAGTCGACGCCGGAGACGAAGACAGAGACACTGCGGAAGTGGAAAGGTGAGCAGTTTTGCCACACAAGTAGGCAAAACTTCCCACGATGCAGTGTCAAAAGGGTTCCCAATTTTAGCCTGGCGACGCGACTCTGGAGCTCAAAACGCGTCTTGAAGTTTGGCAGCCGGCGCCGGCTTTCTGGCCCACTGTGCACTGTGGGGAATCTTCGCCCATTTGTGAGGTAACACTGGCTGTCGGGTTGATAGCCTGCATAGCACGAGGCGAACTAACTTGGTTCGCAGAACGTCCTTAACAGCTTCCTAGAAGCGTTTTAATCGCGTCGCACGCGTTACTCGCTGTCTTACGAGCCCACAGACCACTGCTCTCTATCTCTCTCGCACATCTGCGAAACGCCTCATGAGTGCGAGAGAGACGGATCCAGCCTACAGCCCTGCGGTCGACGGTCACCATAGGGGTAGCGAGGCAATAAGAGCAGCAACGACGGTACCACGTCGTGTAAGTGCGCCAATGGCTCAGGCAGTCTCTCTCTCTCTCTCTTCCAACTCCAAGTCAGTGATCTCTCCTCGACCAAGGACACTCCACGGGCACACTGTCAGCCGCTCACTTCTGGGTCCTGCACTCTGCACCCGCCCGAAGCGCCGTGCGCTTAGGCAACCCAACACTCTCGTGCCTGATGGGTTGCCTACCCGACATTACCATTACCACTAAGGGCTAGACCACACATGATCGTATGCCGGCTCTTGTCCTCCTGCACTTAGTGCATGGGCTTATTTTTGTTTTTGTTCAATGTCTCATGTTGAGGGATGAATGACTGGTAACATTGTATTCTCTTTTCGAAATTTTTTTAAAACTTATTCAATCAAAAAAATAAAGAAATGCACACTCTAGTACGACTAACTATGGAGCCTGTCCCACCATACCATAACAATTCAGTTCAACATAAAATAAATGCTTCAAAAAATATTTTATAAAAATTATAACAAAACAAGGATAAACAAAATATATATGAATCACAGTTTGTCATAAGGCCAACATTTTTTTAAGGACTATTAAGTATTTGTACAGGAATGCATCTATGTAAGACCCTATTCTGGAATGACACAGAAATAATGAAATGTATTCCAGCTTAAACAGAAATACTTCCATCTCTGAAACTAGTTTTACCAATCCATACATTGAGAAGCACACTTGACTTTTGGCCAATGGTTTGTGCTCTGCGAAGTGTCCCAGCAATGTCATCTTTGTCGTACTTCAAGAGCAGGCCTTCACCTCCATAGCCTTGAGAAACTTCGTGATAATTGGTGTGCTAGAAAATCGAAAATAAACATGAAAGATTGTGACCCTTGTTGCCAGAATTTTTACCCATTTAAGAAACAACCAAAGTATTACCTCTAGCTTGCAGGCAACAGAGCTATTGAACATTGGCTCCTGCTCTCTCAGAATTTGTGTCCAGCCAGCATCATTTCCAACAACAGAAATGACATGAGCTCCAAAACGTTTCATGGTGTCAATCTCTGCAACACTGTAACCACAGGAGCCATCTCCCCAAATGATCCAAACTTCACTGTCAGGCCGGCAAAGCTTGGCTCCCAATGCAAAACCACCTCCAACACCCAGAGTGCCAAATGCTCCAGGGTCAAGCCATTGAAGAGGTCCTCGGGGTCTGTAATAAAGTTAGGACATTTTTGTTTTTGTCACCTGCAGCAGCAATGGTATAATGGGTACCAAATAATTTTTGTGATCAGGAGGAAGGATTACCTGAGAATGTAGGCACCTGTGGCAACAAAGTCCCCACCATCAGCAACAAGAATTGCATTATCAGGCAATACTTTTTCCAGTTCGAAAAATAGCCTCATGGGATTGATGTGATTGTCTGTTGGCTGCAATGACATCTAAAAGGAAAAAACAGGAATTTTGAGTGCAATGAGTGAAATGACCTATTTTCTGTGTCTGCCATCAGCACAAGGAAAGAACTGTACCTCTTCATTTGCCTTTTCTTTGATGTTTTCCCTTTCTCTGAGCTCAGAAATCCATTCTTGGTCAACTTTAAATGATCCACGAAGAGCTTCTGATAATTTCACCATGAATGTGGCAGCATCCCCCAAGACAGGCACAGTAGGTTTCCAAAACGCGTCAGAATTCTGAATTAAAAAATAATCATTAATAAAAAGGTAGTTGGGGTGATATTTTTAAAGAAAAGATACCAGAATATACCTTCCACAGCTGCTCCTTGCTGCGGTTGATGCAAATGATTTTAGCAGAGCGAGGTATTGACCTGCCATATTGAAGGCGGAAATCACAGACACTTCCAGCTAAAATGACAACATCTGCTCGCTTGAGAGCATTGCCTCGCTGGTGACGGAATTGTATTCCGCTCTTTGATCCCAGAAGACCCCTCGCCATGCCACCTAGGTAGCAAGGGATTCCTAGTGACTCGACAGCCTGCTTGAGTTCTTCAGACGGAACTGGAGGCAGAGTGGCCTGGCTCCCAATCACAAGAAGAGGCCTCTTGGATCGCGAAAGCAGCTCCACACTCCTCTGAACTGAAAACATACATGAAAATAATCAGTATTACATAACAAATTTTTAAAAAACGCAGTGTAATAGTGTGACATTGTTTAATCCTATCATAATACAATGAGCATAAACTCACTTTCTTCTGATGTTGGCAGAGGAATGCTAGGCATCAAGGGGGAAACTGGTCGCTTTTCCCAGGCACCAGAAAAAATGTTTTGCACATAGTTGTTCATGTACCTGTTGGAGAGTGGCAAAAGATAGGTATTTGAATTAGCACAAAAGTTACAACAAAGCAAATAAGGAAGACATTTGAAAAATAATCTTCAGTCACATTACCAATGAAGAGCGTTAGCAAGGAAACCCTTTGGCTTGCTGGAACCAAGCACTTCCTTGTTCACCATGGCAAATGGATACAGGACATCAATTGGGAATTCCACAAAAACTGGGCCTGGAAATCCATACATTATATTTATGATTAAACTAAGGGGAAAATCACTTCAAAAACTAATGGCATTGAATACGTCTTTGATTTATACCTGGGGTACCAGACTGAGCTTCACAAATGGCCTTTCTCAAGGTAGGAGCTATGTCTCGGACACATTTGACTGTTGAGCAGGATTTACAAATTGACTTGAACAACGAGATTTGGTCGATGTCTTGAAGTGCTCCTCGTCCTTTCAGAATAGTTGCTGCAGCCCCACCTGGAAATAATGAATTAGAGTGTAATGTACAGTGGCTGAGAAAATGGATGAATTAAATCAGACATTCGATTACCAATCAGGAGAAGGGGGGACTCTGCCATCTGAGCATTTTTCACGGCTGTGATGGTATTTGTGAGGCCAGGGCCAGCGGTCACAGCGGCCACACCCACAGTCCCAGAAAGACGAGCAACAGCATCTGCTGCAAAAACTGCAGACACCTAAAAGCAGTCATAATTGCAGCTAATTTTATACAGGTAGAGCATGCAGCAACGTTTGGTTGTAAGGTAGGTTTAGTTTACCTCATGTCGGGTGTCAACAACTTTGATCCCTAATTTCTCAGAAGCCACTAAAATAGGTGATATGTGTCCGCCAACCAGAGTGAAAATGAATTTTACTCCGTGGCTTTTGAGAACATCAGCAACTATCTCTCCCCCATGTTTCTTGGAATCCACATCCACCTTTCAAAAAATATGAAACAATTATTTTCATGAACTCAAAAATTAAAGGTTCACATTTCAAGAGCGAGCGAGAAAATGACTACTCAATATACTTACCGGGTGCATAAAAATGTAGAGCACGTTGAAAAATTTAATAAATGCTGCAAGGAGCCCTAAGAACAAGGTTCCTGCCCAGAGTGATAAACAGCAGCACTCCATTTTACCAATAATTTCAAATTCCTATCCTTGCAAATAGTGGCTGGATTCCCCAGCACTAGAAGCAGCTTGCCACAGCTTAATCAAACCATCAAGATTTCGAATCACTTTCAGGACGGGGTTTAGCATAAAGTTTTCTCTCCTTGTTGGATTACGATACAATAGATAAGATTAGAGAGCGCAAGGGTCAAAAAGATACCAACAGGTCCACCAGGTAGTCTGCACTGAATGGTGATAAACAATTTTGACAAGAACTGTACACCCTTCAACAGCGCAGTAGTCAATTTCTCATGTCATTGGTGTAGCGAGCCCAGCGAGCCTCACAACAACTGCAATGTGTATCCGGCCGCCATGCCAACCGCAATGTGACTCCACATACCAATCTGTTTGGAGAAGACGCATTCCAGAGTTCTGAAGCAAAGCAACAAGTGTTAATTTGAGATTTGCTGTCCTCGGCATGGGTTGAAATGAAAGAAGATAAAGGAAGAACTCCTCTCCGCATCATTCTCCACAATTTTTTGAACCACATTGAGAAGTTGGAATCTCAGAGATCTCCAGAAGATAGTTATGAAAAGGAGTTCCAGGTTGGTTGTTGTCAAGTGTGTCAACATAGGGTGACATTCTTTCTCTTTGTTTGGACCCCTCTTAGACCTATTATTTTGGTTTTGAACAGTATTCAGACTGTCTTATCTAGAGTTATTCTTGAAATTCTGAGGATTTTCATTGGTGTTTTCCACTGAAACCTGTTGATTCCTGGCTTCTTACCTTGCCGAATGAGGTTAGACGCCGCTGTTTGAACTCGAAAATCATAATTACTCTTGTTATTATCATGTTGAAAAATTTGCCTTGAAAGCGTACTTTTGTTTTTCGGTGCATTGTTACTCGGGCATCTCGTTTTTCTCACCCCATGAGTTCCTATTGAACCTACAAAGTTGAATTAGTTCCACTTTCTACTGTGTCAGAAATCTCACTATGAAACTATGTCTGCTACAAATTCTCTTTACGGTTTCTTTTTGCAGGAGCTGAAATTATTCAGTGAAAACCTTAAAGGACACAAGCTTTATGCCAGTGGAGAAGGAGAAAAAGAAGTCAATCGGAAGAAGAACCGATACAAAGATATTTTGCCATGTAAGAACATGAGCGCCCGTTCAACAAAACACATTCCTTTGGAAAGGGAGTTTTTCTTTCATATTGTCTTTTTTTTTTTTTCTATTCTGCAGTTGACTTCAGTCGTGTTATTCTGAGTGAATATGCCGGGACTACAGGAAGTGACTACATCAATGCCAATTTCATCAGAGGAGCTAGCGGGTCTCCGGCTTACATTGCTAGCCAGGGGCCCTTACCTCACACCGTCAATGATTTCTGGAGAATGGTGGTGGAATGTGAAGTCCATGTCATTATTATGGCCTGCAATGAAGATGAAGCCGGAAAGGTAAGTTACAAAATAGTAGCTGGTTATTTTCTCTATTTTTGATGTTTTATTCTTTTCTTCTTAACTCTTTCAGCACAAATGTGAAAAGTATTGGGTTGATCGGGAGGAAGAAGTGAAGCAGTATGGCATGGTGCGCATTCGTTTGATACAAGGAAGTGATGTCTGTCCTGACTTTTCTGTGCGCACCATTAAACTGGAATATACCAACAAAGATAACACCACTGGTAAAGATTAAAATATTTACTATCATTTCTACATGGGTGTTGTCTGTTAATTTAGAGTAATATATCTTGTCTTGTTTTCAGAGGAGCGCACTGTGTGTCAGTTTCATTATTCAGCATGGCCAGATCACGGCGTACCTCCATCCGTGCGCCCCCTATTGGACATGGTTCGTCTAGTGAGAGATACGCAAGCCTCTGAAACTCTGCCAGTTCTTGTTCATTGCTCAGCTGGATGTGGGCGCACAGGAACAATTTGTGCAATTGATTATGTTTGGGGATTACTTCGTGCAGGTGTAAGTATTAATCACAGTGACTTTTCTGATGGTAATGGTGTAAATTTTATTAACCCCTTGCTGCTTTCAGAAATTGACCAAGGACTTCAGTCTTCATACTTTGGTGCGAGAAATGCGACGACAGCGTGTTGCTATGGTTCAAACTACAGAACAATACATATTGGTGCATAGGGCAGTAAGAGAGTTATTTAAAGAGCAACTAAGAGTTATAGATTCTCACCCTTATGAAAATATTGACCTTGACGGAGCCCTTGTACGCAACAAGAATGAGGAAGAACCTCTTTATGAATCTGTGCGCACGTTTGATGAACCTAGAAAAATTGGTAAGTTACATCCAGCTTGTTACTTGTTTCCTTAAAATGCCCATATTTTTTTTCACGTCCAATTTTTTATAAATCTCATGGGGTTTTTTGTTTGTTTTTTTACAGGAATCAAAACAATTCAAACTGATGAGTCCTCTCCTGCACCTCCACTCCCAAGGAAAAATCGAGTACATATGGCTGCATCCAAACATGAAAAAGAAGTTGAAAATCAGACCCAAAAGCAGCGCAACAGTCAAGGAGGACCTGTTGGTATTGCCAAGCTGAAAGCTATGTTTGAGCGTAGTCCTGTGTCTCGAAGCCAGTCTCTGGGCAGAAGGCAAGCATCTAACCCTGTGCCTGTTGTGACTGCACCATGTCCTGCTCTTCCCATCAAAAGAAGTAAATCATTACGAATAGTTGGAGAAAGGAACAGGTTATCTATTATTGCACACCATGCAGCCAATACATCAGCTAACGGCTCAGTAAAATCAAAGCCTCCAACTGCCAGGAACAAATCGATGCCAGGTGCACTTCTAAGAAGAAGAAGAAGTTTTGAATCAGACAACAGTCCAAAACCAACCCGGCGCTCTCTCCACTTGGATGATGATGGCCGCAAACTGCTTCAAGATTGCAAAGATTTCCTTTCCAGGTCAGTGGATTCTCCTTCGGGAGATGCTGGCTGTCAGCGAATTGAAGGTGTTGTGGGAGGGAAAGGAATTCGTGAAAGAAGGGACAGCTTCAGACAAGCTATATCTAAGAAGACGGAGTTACCCGCAGACAAGGGTTTGAGCAACACCAATCCAATTGTGGCAAGGCAACATACTCCTCAAAGGAACCATGATGTACCTGATGAAGTTGATGGCCCGCTGGTACACCAGATGAGGTATCAGGGTAACAGTAAAGATGAAGTCGACACCAGCCTGTCAAATGTCATCATCGTCAAACCTGATCGAGCCTCTCCTAAGGTAGACTTATACGTGAAGGGACTCTCAGGAGAAACAGTCACATCTAATGGGACTCCAGTAGAAAATGGTTCTGATCCTCTGAAGCAAATTGGTTTAATTTGGAACCGAGCTGCTACCTCTATTGATCTGAAAAGTAATCTGAAGAATGGTGACCTGAGTCTGCAAGAACTCAAATCGTGTTTGAGAAGAGAAGGTACAGCCCATGAATTGAAGGCAAGGAAAATTGAAGCCATGCAGAATTCTCTTCCTGTTAAGCCTTACAAATCTCTGGACAGGGTTCCTAAAAAGGATGACATTCAGCCTGCTTCCTCTGAATGGCGCCCTCCTGTTGTAAATAATTCAATGGGAAGTCCTCACCGTTCTCCTCAAACAACTGTTGATCGTCGAAATCCTTTAGCTATGCCCAGCAGCCCCCATCGCTCACCTCAGACAACTGTTGACCGTAGGAATCCTCTTCCAAACATGACTATGTCAAGTCCGCAGCAGTCACCCCAAACAACAGTTGATAGAAGACACTCTCACTATGCCCCTTCAAGTCCTCACCGGTCTCCACAGACAACCTATGATAGAAGAAACGCACTCGCAAGCCCTCATCAGTCACCCCAAGCCACTGTGGATCGTAGAAACCCGCTGAGCTCACACCCAAGTCCTCACAGCTCTCCGCAAACCACCGTAGACAGGAGAAACCCACTTTCAGCAGCGGCAAGCCCTCATCACTCTCCGCAGACAACAGTGGATCGAAGAAACCCTTTGAGTTCGCATTCCAGTCCTCATCAATCACCTCAAACGACAGTTGAGCGCCGGAATCATCTCAATCAACTCTCAAGTATGTTGATGCCATCAGAATCTTCACCAATGAACCCAAGAAATCATATTGGAGCTCCTCAACGCTCTCCTCAAACCACAGTGGATCGCAGGAACTCTGGGTCTCACATATCCCCTCAAACAACTGTGGATCGCAGGGCACCTCTTAGTTTAGGCGCAAGTCCGCATGTCTCACCTCAAACGACTGTGGACAGGAGGAACGTGATGTTGTCAGTTCCTCCTCCCATGCCCCAGCTGCAAATGTTGTTGACTGCCAGTCAGCTGGGCAATGCCGCTTCATCTCATCCGATTGCCCTGCCCCCAAATGGCAATGTGCCTCTGAGACCTCCTATGGGTATGGATCATCAACCACATCAATCTCATCAACCTCGACCCTCTAATGGCTCTCAACATAGACCACATTTGCACAATGCACGTGGGCATAGTCATGGAGTCGCTGCCATTCCAACTACTTATGACAAGAAACCAGCAGAACCTTACAGCTACGGTAAGCTCTCCTAATAAACCATGACCATGTATTTCTTGTAATTAATGTCCCACCAATCTAAAGGTTGTAAATAATCCATTTTTCTTAATATTTGGTCAGGACTTGTAGCCAGCGTCCTCAGAAGAGGATCTCAAGATGACCTTGCACTCTGTGCATCTGGAAATGGAATAATTCCTACTAAAGCTTCAACCAGTGGTCAACGCCCGAGCGGACCTAGTGCTCCACCGAGGATCAAGAGGCATGCCAGTGTTGTCCTGCCGAGGAAAACTACAGGTTGTTATTTTTTGATGGACTAAGGGCATTGTACTGTGTGGCTCTTGACTTCTTTATTATCTCATTTCTGTTCTTTTTGCCTTTCTTGCAGCGAATAAAGAAGCAGCAGGAGTGTTAAGTCCAAGTACACCTGTAAGTAATGTTATAAATTAAAAAAAAAAAATTACTGCAGTAATTTTGTGCATAGATCTGACATAAGCTGTGTCTTATTTCAGGTTGATCCGAAGAGGTGGTCTGCCAAGGGAAATCAATCTGTCTCTCCGCAAAAGGTGGCAGCTTTTCCACCTGGACCATTGCCAGCTACAGTTCCATCTCCCTCTATTTCAACGGTTCCCTCCCAAGCTCCTGCCACAGTGCCGACAACTACGACTCCCTCTTCTAAATCCAACACTCCCGTGCAGGCGGCCGGAGCTTCCAAGTCTCGATCATGTAGGTGTTTTCCTGGCTTAGTTAATCTACTGCATTATTTTAATTTTATTGGAACATTGGTAACTGAGTCAGATGTCATATCTTACTATTTTTGTGTTCTTGTTTCAGCTCCCAAGAAGTTGTCTGGCAGTAGCTTAAGCAGAGCTCTGGGTGCTCTCCAGTTGCGACGTTCTGGAAACTCCTCTGCTTCATCCCCTCCAGCAGCGGTCAAAGCAGCCAATGAAGACCCGAGCTCTGCAGTGCAAAGGTCACCTGTCAAAACTGCTACACCCAGCAAAGTCTCTGCCCCTTTCCCAGCAGGTGTGGTGTCACCTACAATGGTCATCAACCCTGGAAAAACAATACTTCCAGCAGGTATGAGCGCCCTCACTATGATCTTACTCTTCCTGGATCTTCAAGTACGTTGTCATCTAACTCCATTTTCCCCTTGTGATTATAGGCATCATGGATGATGGAAGTAAGTCGCACCCAACAGCGCAGGAACATTCTGTGCGAAGCCCAGTCTCCTACCCAACGATTCCAAACCACCAGACCCAGCCCACATACCCCCCTCCATCGCACCTGCATCCCCATCCACACCCCCACCCCCATCCCCGTCCGCTTGCGGCCACCCCTACCCAGCGCCTGCCGCCCCAGCCATACCAGCACCGCCACCCCTACCCCCCTCAGAGGCATGCGCCCCCTGTCGCTGCTCAGCACCAGCCCCTTCAGCAGCACCTCTATCCACAGACCCCCCACCAGCATCCAAAGACCCATAAGAAACAGCAGTATCTCTGAGAATTAACATTCCTTCAAAAATTAGGGTGGCTTTTACCCAATTTTAATGATTATTTTTTTAAAACTATAGAATTGTAGCATTTTGGATGATATTTTTTATATTCTTTTATTTTGGTGGAGCACTTGTTTACCTATGAGGCACGATTGTAATCTTTTTCAAGTCGGAACCAGTTTTTTGGTGAAGCAGTGCTGCCTGTTAAGGTTTTGCTACTGACATATTGTTGACTTCCATTTGAAATTTTGACTGTCTTGCTATGAAAATCATTTTATTTTAATTAAGGAAAGTATTTTTAGAATTAAGTTTAGGGTTCTTCCATTTATTAATGAATGAATGAAAGTGGCAATAATAACATAAGTATTTAACAGTCAGGATTTTCTGAGGTTCGTACTTTTAGTAGTAGTAAACTTTACATTGTGATTTTTAAGCTCAAACTTTTGTACCGGTATGTTAGAGAAAAAGTGGACAGAACACAAATGTTTTTTTTCAAAGCTGTGTTGATGATAAAGGACATGTAGCTTTACTTATCTCATTTGTTTTCTGTCTACTGTGTTAATGTTATAATTTTTCTGTCAAAGACATATGTTGCGGTTGGAGTTACGCCTTAGATTGTGTCATTGTCATTGGAAAACCTTAAAATCCAAGTGATGCCTAGGCATATGTGATATGAATGTATCTATAATTAATCAAATTTAAGTTTGTAGAGACGAAGTAGTTAGTTCAAAATTAAATCAGAGTAAGCTTAACATTCCATTTTATATTTATAGTTTGTTATTTGAAAATGTGGTTTAAGGACCAAGAAAGCTCTCTAGACAAGATGAGCCCTCCCAAGGAGAGCCTCTTCTATCTCTCTTTTAAAGAAAGTAAAATATGCTATTTTATACCTTGTAGTGGAGGGCAACCTCCTTGTCTCTTTATTTGTGTTTTACAGAGTCTCCTTAAAATTTTAGTCACGAAAGAACTGACCTCAGCTAGTATGTTATATCAAAGTCAGGTGTGATCAGGTCCTTTGTGACTTCAGTGTTTTGTTGTTCTTTTCTTCCATACTTTGTTTTAGCTGGTCTTTACTTCTCCCTCAGCCATACAATATCTTTAAAAAAGGAGTATTGTGCTTGGTATGCTGTATCAAATCATCATTTCTTGCCCCGATCAGTTGCTTTAGCTGGTAGAGCATTTCCTTTTTGTACCAATATGGGCATCAGAGGGTTTCACCAATAATATACTGACTTTCGTTTTCTGTAATTTTAAGGAACCCTGCACAGTTAATTTATTATTTTTGGGGTTGAAGAAATGATGCAATCAAAATTTTTCACACCATACCAAATTCTGTAAACAGAGAGTTCATTCTGTTAATGTCTATTTGTATCTTGTATTAATTTTTTCTACTGTTTTTGTTTCCTTGTTTCTTTATGAAAGAAATGTTGTTAACGTTGGGTTAAAATATGTTTCTAATGGGGTGAACTAAAAAAGTTGTTTGCTTTATTTATGATTGTCTTCTTAATGGTATATATAAATTTATTATGTACATGTTAAATTTTATCTTGTATCTCTTTCAAAAATAGTTTCAACGTCCAGGGAAACCACGGTCACTTTTAGCAAAATACTTATAATAAGAGGTCACCCAGTGCTATGTTGAAAGAAAAACATTCAAGTGACATTTGTAATTGCTTGTACTTTCTTTTTAAGAAAACTGTATCCAGTGATAGGTATTTTTACAACTGTGATTGCATACTTTTACATTAACTTATCTAAATGCCAATACATAGTTGACAAGCTTCAGAAATGTAGGCTTTGTATCACTCCACAAGCAGCAATCTTGCAGTCCGTCCCTGATCATGTAACCGTAACAGATTCCTTCCAAATAAATAAGTTTGTATTAAAAACTTGAACTGGCGCTCTCAATTCATCCCGAACGGTGAGGGAAACAGCAGGTCGTGGCCGTCTTTAGTCGTCCTGGGCAGTTAGGTCGACCTTGAGGTTGGGCCGCTGGGCGGCGAAGACGCTCTGCAGCCGCTTTCGCAGTGGCGGCAAGTGGCGGTCGGACAGCGGCTTGCTGGGAGCCAGCAGCTTGAAGGCGGCGGTCCGCAGCGGCGAGCGCATCGCCAGGCACAGGTCCATCACCTCCTGCAGGGCCGCCTCCACGCGCTGGGTGAACTCGGGGCTCGCCTGCCGCCTGTGGGGATCGCTCACCTGCCATGACAGCCACCAACAACATCAACACAAGGCAGCGTAAAACCAAAGTGAGAGATTTTTTTTTTTTTTTTTTTAAAGCGTAGGGTACTGGCAACGCTGCCAGGAGCGTGGCACACTGCACAGTAGGCCAGAAGACCGGCGGAGGAGACCAAGACTCCAGACGCGTTTTGAGCTACAGAGTCGTTAAATGGGACTCGAATCGAACGTGTGACCCCACCAATGGATTGCTCTCTGAACGAGGAATCGATTGGTGGGGTCACAAGCTCGGTTCGAGTCCTGCTTAGCGGCTCTGGAGCTCAAAATGTGTTTCGAGTTTTTGGCCGCTTCCAGCGGTCTTCTGGCAAATCCACTGAGCAGAGTGTTGACCTGCAAGGCCAGCTCGACGTGCTCCAGGCCGCGCAGCTCGGTGCACGCGTCCCGGTCGGCGCCGCGCAGTGGGTACACGTCCAGCACCCGGAGCGCCGCGGCGCCGCGCACCAGGTCGCCGACGAGGCCGCTGGGGAGGGGCGGGAGGCGGGGGAGGGCCCACATGGTGCAGTCGTGCAGGCGAAGCTCGCGGAGTGCCGGCAGCCTGCCCGCCAGCTCGCCGTCGTAGCGCGCGGACGTGAAAGGCCGTGATCGCTGCACCGCCAGGCGCAGCACGCGCAGGTGCCGCTGGCGCTGCAGGAAGGGGACGATGTACGCGTGGAGGATGTCACTGCCGCTGGAAGCCAAGCCAGAGTCACTCTCATCGCGCTGTCTCTGCTAAATGGGACTCGAACCAAGCGTGCGACCCCACCAATGGATTCCTCGTTCGGAAAGCAATCCATTGGTGGGGTCACACGTTCGGTTCGAGTCACATTTAGCGACACTGGAGCTCAGAACGCGTCCGGGATTTCGACCGCCTCCACCGGTCTTCTGGCCCACTGTGCGTCGCTGTGCGACGCCGAGGGACACCTACACCGGGAACTCGCAGTGCACCTCGCGCACCAGGACTCGGCTGTGGCACAGCGCGAACAGCACTCGGGGGCAGGGCTCGGTGTCCGCGGACACGGCCAGCTCCAGCGACGCCGCGGTGGCGGCCGGCGCGTGTGGCGCGTGCAGCAAGGCGCGGGCCAGCTCCCACGAGTAGGCGATGTCCCTGAGCGACAAGACGGGCAAGACGGTGAGGCAGTGCTGCCACCCAAGCAGGCAAAACCTCGCGCGGCACACTAGAGTCGAGAGGGTTGCCAACCTCAGCCTGCCTACCAGGCGACTTGTTGGGAGCAAGTTCAGATTGCGTAGTAAGGCAGGTTGTTGTTGGCCACGTTTTCGGAACAGGTGTATCGTGGTAACTTTTGCCTTCTTGTGTGGCAACACTGCAAGTTGGTTCAAGGGGACGAGCTAGGCAGGCTAGCGCCTGCAGGGTAGGCAACACACCGGGGCGGGGAAGCCCCTGAGGCGTCAAGCCACTGTAGAGGCACTAGCGAGCCACCATGCAGCCACCCCGACGAGCTAGTCGGCATTCACTCCAAGACCGGCGTGGTCTGGACGGCGGCGCCTTGCGAAGTACGCGCAGAGTGTCTAGCGTACCCGATGTAGAGCGACTTGAGGTTGAACCGGAAGCGCACCCCCGCCCAGGAGTCCGGGTCGCGGGCCAGGCGGCACCACCGCTTGCACACCAGGGGCAGCACGTCCAGCAGGGTCACGCCGTCGTCCAGCTTGCCGAAGACGAGCACCAGCACCTCGTCGGGCAGGGCGTCCACGCCCGCGCCGCGGGCCTCGGCCGAGTCCTGCGACTCCATGGGCGCGTTGGCGTCCCCGGAGAACCTGAAATAACTTTTAGCATGTGACGTCACAAACTTTTATTACTTCAGGCTGCTAGTCGGCGCCGAACATAACCTCATGAAGCCTACCGGGCCTTCCAGTACTCGGATCGCCTGTCCAACTTCAAAACTTGCGACACGAGTGAATTGACGTTCGAATGCACGTGTCGGTTTTTAAAAGAACACTTCAGTACCACTCTAAAACAAAATGATGAATTAAAATTTACTCGTGCAGCTGCCACCCCGAAAAGAACCACGAACGAGACATAAAACGAACAGCGCCAGCGGTCCCCTTCCCCGACCCCACTCTCCTGACCAACAGCCCCCCCTCCCCCCCCTCCTGCCCCCACTTGTATCCCAAACAGTCGAGGCCCCTCTCTCAAGGTCAGTTTTAGCCGGCCAACCGAGGCCCCTTTTATTCTGTGTTCTGGTATCCAGTTTGAATCTTACCTATGCAGCGCAAGCTCAAATACCTCCAGTTTTTCACCAAAAAGAGACTGTTCACGCCCCAAATGGCCCTCGAAATAGTGTCAGGAGCCACGAAGGAATGCCCCAGCACAACATACTCGAATTTGGTCGAATTTCAAGGGGTGGCCCAAAAGAGTAAAAAACCATGCCTTGACATTTTTTCGACGAAAATGGTCGGCTACCTCCGATCTGTCTGAAAGTGATATGGAACCTTCGTATGGGTCTAAGAAACAGATGCCCGGTGCCGAATGGCTCTTAACGCATTCCATTTGGCGTGAAAATGACATTTTCCGGGATGCTAGACGAGTTGAAGAAGCTGTGGACGGTGGGTTGCCTACCTACGCGGCGCAGGCTTCAATACTTCCAGATTTTCACCAGAAAGAGACTGTTTAGGGCCCAAATGACCCTCGAAATAGTGTCAGGGCCCACGAGGGAGGGAGGGGGGCAGCACCACCTACTTGAATTTGGTTGAATTTCATGGTATGGCCCAAAACGGTAAAAAACCGACAAAAATGGTCGACCACCTCCGATCTGTCTGAAATTAATATGGAACCTTCTCATGGGTCTAAGAAACAGAAAATTATGAGAACGATCGGGCGAAGCATCTAAAACAACTGTACCACTTTGTGTGTGATCACACTGTTCAGCAGCATAATTTCTCTTGCTTTGCTTTTGAGTATTTTGCTAGCGATAAACAAGGACTCCCCAGTAATCCACACACTTTTCTCTGAGACAGGATGCAAAAACCAAAGATTGAAAAATTGAAATTTTTTAAAAGTTTTATTAATTTTATTTCTACAACAATGTTGAAAATAATACTGCAGCAACACTTGCCAACAAAAAGCTTCCATAAGCTGCATTAGGAACACATGAAAATGAATTTAAAACAATAGAGGCAGAGGGTCAGTATCCATGTTAACTCTCCTTATTTTATGTTTGATGTAAAACAACAGCTTCTGTTTGAAGACACAGCTCACACTGCTGGGTGCAGAAACAAACCAGCGGTTTAGGATGGAGACCAACAGATTTAATTGAACAATTTAATCAAAAAGAGTCAAGAGCATCACGTGACTAGAATTATGGAAATGCTTCAAGAAAAATGCTAAGGTTGAGTGATGTAGTACATCAAATAAACAAACTTAAAAGGAGAGCTTTTAAGTACTTAACCTTGGTCCCAAAATGATACTCCACCTCATTCACCATGCCTCTACCTAATCAACGGAACAAAATAAACAACACCATCTCAGAAACTAAATACAAAAAAAAATAAAATTACAAATAAAAAACAAATTTGCAAAAGAGTTCATCAGAATTTTGGTATGTCTTTTCTGTTGACCCTATTATAAAATGAGAAATAAAAATTCACAAGCTTAGAATCTATAAATCATAGTCTTTTATCTAACAGTACTATTAACATAGCATTTATTTTACACATTTCCCTCAAGAGCACACAAGTATACCTATGTACATTGAGTACTAAAATTAACATAAATATAATTAAAACTGGAATGAAAAATAATGATTTTCAAGGCACTGCAGTACAAACATTTTTATTTACACTGTACAAAGTTTGACTGTACACATTTAAGTCTAATAGTTTGGCTCTCGACGCTAAGAGGCGTGCACACTTAATTTACTATTCACAGAATTTGATGAACCACTCAGTCAAATGCAAGATCCATTTTTGACAATTGGATGCAAGCTGGAATTTTATATTTGTTTGGACCAGGAATGAACATGATTAAGCTGTTTAATAATTATTTAACATGATCAGTAATTTTCTCTCCCTTATAGAAATCCACAAAACTTTGAACAATGGTACTTGTGGATTAGAATGTATCAGGAGCAAAACAAGTAAGTTCAAGCATCTATACTGACTTCATCACCAGCTCTAAGCATTCATCATAAAATAGTATGCTCTTCCCAATATTCTGAATATGGCACAATATCAACATACGAGTTAAAATGAATAGTGGAAGGGCAAGAGAAATTTTCCCCAAATTTAGACGATGCAAAAACCTATGCGATGTTTCTGAGAACTGTCAAATGTCTGGAAGATTATTCATGAATTGTGGATCGTCTCTTCACTTTATCACAGTTAGAAAAAGAGTGCAAGTAATTTAGATAAAGAAAACAATTTGAATAGATAAATATTCTTTGCAACTGAAATAAGTTTTCTCATGAATAAGAAGCAACAGCAACAAACGTGCTTCTCATGACGTAAATTTGTTATTCCCCCATAAGGTTCCACAACTAATGTAACTGCATGGCCACATACACCATGACATTTCCAAAGGAAGGATGAAGAGACACAAAACCACTACATTTAATGTGGACAAGAAAAATATAAATTTTGTGCAATGTGAAATAAATAAAACATTCAAAACAAGATCCAACTAAAAATTGCCCAGTATAATTTCAAACCCTCACAAGTCAATGACACATTTCACAGTCTCGGACGATGAGAATGGTTTTCGCGGATCTGGTCTGCCACTGGGCACGGAAGACTAAGCCAAGGAGGCTGCCCACCTCTCTCCCTTCCAGACAGGAAGTCCACCACTTTCACTCAGTCACACACACACCACCATCATAGTCACTCGCGGCACTTGGCACAGGAGCCTGAGGGCGGGGGTGGGGGCGGGCGGGAGTGGCGGGAGCGCGCACTGCCGGCACTGCCCCAGAGCCACGCAGGGCCCTCGGCAGGGCCCTCGGCAGGGCAGGCCCTCGGACGCGCGCCGTCAAACCTCTGTCCCGTCCTCGCCCTCGTCCTCGAACAGGGGCCCGCCCACCTTCTTCTTGGGCTTGGGCGGCGGCTTGGGCGGCACTTTAACTGTCCGGACCGCCGGCGCCCCGGAGCCGTTGGTCAACGGGGTGGTCGAGCTGGCCGACGTGATGGACGCGATCGACGTCGGCCTCTTGACCGTCCCGGGCAGCAGCAGGGACTCCCTGTCGCCCTCGGGGCTGGCCACCCTGGGCACGCCGCGGCTGGCGGGCTGCCGGCCCAGCGTCAAGCTCCCCGTCAGCGAGGACTCGGGGGAGATCCTGGACCACGAGCCTCGCCGGCCGTTCCTCTCCGCGGGGGAAGTGAACTTGTTGCTGCCAGGCGACGGGGACGCCGTCGACTGCCGGTCCTGGCGGTGCAGGCCGCCGAGGTGGCCGAGGGTATGGTGGTGGTGGTGGCCGTTGAGTCTCGGCGGCGTCAGCGCCAGGGACTCCAGCTCCTCGATGGGCGTGTAGAAGGCGGGCAGCGGGCTGGGCTGCGGCGGCACGCCTGCACGCGGCGCCGCGGAGGACGCCGACGACGGGGGCCTCACTGGCGAGGAGTCCAAGCCAGTCTTGTTGAGGGACAGCACCGAGCTCCCGTCCGCGGTCGTCCTGGGACCCATATTGTCATAGACAGGTTCCAGCTGCGAGAGGAACGGACAGCAGATTAGCACAGGCATGTCGGAGTCTACAACTTTCAGTTCGCTCTCTCCCTCTCCCTACAAATAGATGGAGAGTGATGACAAGGATGGGCATGACGACATGTGACGACACCTGGTGCAGGGCTACAGCACCAAACAGCTTCCAACATTCACATTACAGTGAACGACAACTCTCTATTGAAAATCATAGGGCAGTTGCTAGATTTGATTGGAAAATATTTGCTCACAAGCACCACAGTTTCACAGACAAACAAATTTAATTTAATTCATTCTCTGTGAAAAATCATAATAATATTCCTACTAAAAAACTGCGGTCTTGTTAAGACAGCCTTGAAACAGGTTGAAAATGCAGGTGCATAAGCACAAAGCATGTAGACAAAGTTTAGACGTCATTAGGATGTTCCCCTTCCAATTAGCAAGAAACAAACAAAACAATACATAATTCACCAACGTACTCAATTTTGAAAAATGAATGAATTTAACCGAAAAAATGGTGCATCCAGTGATATTGACTTGTGGTGCAAATAATGACAGGTGTTTTAAAATAAAGACACATGCTTCTATGGTGGAGAAAAAAAGCAACAGAACCTCACGCACATTTGTCAAATGGATGCCAGTGCAACGTTTTAGAAAGAAATTAAACCAAAATGTGGGGATTTGTAAGTTGGTGATTACTTACCAACAGTTCCAACCTTCATTGTATGCTTGATAACAAGTAATACGAATATTTTGGGTAAAAAAAAAGCCCGAGAAAATCCACCACCAATTCCTTTTTAATGCATACAATGCAAAGCATTGACACTTACCTTCAGTAGAAGTGAATCATCTAGACAAGGTGTTGGGGTTGGTGATGACCAGGATGGAACTCGAGGTCTTCTTGGAATAGTCACATATCCAGATCGTGGCTGGACCAAGGGTTGCGACATAGGTGGAGAAAACGGAGATTGACTTCTTGAATACGGTAAGGTACCGCAAAGAGCAGTTGATGCAGTTGAAGCTGGACTGTGTGGTCCTCCGCTTATTGAAGCCGACCTGCAAACACAGTGATTGGTTAGCATCAAGCTTCCAAATGTTTCCGTAATTCAGTGGAAATAATTCAAATTTAATATGCAATGCAATTTTAACATATTAAGTCAGATGAACATAGTTTCTCCATCAATAACATGAGATGATGGCTCCAGGCTTAGTTTACCTTGAAGGGAAGGCGAGAAGGTCTGGAGGATACGAGTTGACTGGGACAGCCGAGGGTCGAGGGAATCTCGCTGTTGTGGCTGTTTCCGCCTCCACTTCAGATCCACTGCGCTGAGGAGTGAGACCTCCGACTGAGTCCAGGGATCGACCCTCTTCGTCGACATGGCCAGCTGCAACAAACACGATAATGCAATTATTGGCTTTGCTAAATGAAACAACGGTGAAATTGAAACCCAGGTCCCATTACAACAATATGACCTAAAATGCCTGGAGGAGGCGTCACACAACAGGCGGGGTGAACCTGCCAACATTCCGATCCAACCCCGACAAGGAATATCCTCACTTGAGACGTCTAATTTGGGCCCATGCACTGTGGGTTGTGTAAGCGTCACCTCGCCGCCTATTCAAGTGTCAACCCCTGCATTTGGAGCCCTTCCTTCACCCACCAATGCCTGAAGGCCATTAGCAGGATGCATAGCCGAGCTCTGGCAGGACATTCCTAACGGTGCTTCCCTCTCTCTGTCTCGCTCGCACTCGTGGGGCTTCCCTCGGGGCCCCTTGGGGTGCGAGAGAGACAGCCTGTCCCTGCTCCGCCTGCTGGTTAGCAGTGCGCTCAGCGCTCATTCCTCGCATTCACAGACTTGGCGCGAGGCTACCGCGTAGGCTGACATGGAGGGCTCGTCGAGGGGACGCGTCATCAGGCAAGAAAACGAGTGGAAAGGGGGGGGGGGGGGGAGGAATTCAAAGCTGTGAAGGGGCAGGCTGGGACAAAGGCAGGCAAGGCGGGCCTACGGGGGCACAGGGGTTGCACAGTGGGCCAGAAGACCGGTGGAGGCGGCCGAAATTCTAAACGCGTTTTGAGCCCCAGAGTCGCCAAATGGGACTCGAAGCGAACGTGTGACCCCACCAATGGATTGCTCTCCGGAAGAGGAATCCAGTGGTGGGGTCACGCGTTCGGTTCGAGCCCCATTTAGCGACTCTGGAGCTCAAAACGCGTCTGGAGTTTTGGCCGCCCCCACCGGTCTTCTGGCCCACTGTGGGGCGGCTGCGTCAAACACGAATATTAGGGAGGGGCGGAGCGGCCGGAACCGCGGGGAAGGACAAGGACTGACACAAACAAGGGCCACGGCGGCGTTTGAAAGGGATCGAAATTCAAGGACAAAACGAGGCGGAGCGCGGCAGGGCAGTGCAAGATGCAGGCTTGGCGATGGATGGGTGGCGCCATGAAAGGCGGATGCTCTTCCGTCTCTCTCGCACCCAGAGGGAAGTCCGGGACGCCCTGCGAGTGTGAGAGAGACAGTCGGCAGTGTAGAGGATGCTGTTTGAAAGGCGGCTGATCCCGAGCAGCACTGCTTTCGTCGCTCTGTCTCTCTCGCACACACGGCGCGGCCCGTGGGGGTGCGAGAGAGACAGAGCGACGCAGGCACTTGTTCAGACTACAGAGGCTGCAGAGGCGCCAAGCAGAGCCTCTTAGCGAGCAATGCATGCTATGCACAGAGAGAGCACCGTGTCAACACGCCTCAAAGGAACCAGCAGCCAAAGCGCAGGGTGCTGCAGTCCCAGCGAAATACAGTGTACCGCCGCACAGCCCCGCGCTAAGCAGCTGCAGCTTAGACAACGCACAACAATGTCCTCGCCGCCATCACCCGCTGGAAGGGAAACCAACGCCACCCCCGGAGAAGCGCGGATCCGGAGGAGGGCACAGTGGGCCGGAAGACCGGTGGAGGCGGTCAAAGTCCCGCACGCGTTTCGAGCTCCGGAGTCGCTAAATGGGACTCGAACCGAGCGTGTGACCCCACCAATGGATTGGAGCCGCAACAGCTCCAGCACAGTGTAACAAGGGGTGGCTGCAAAAAAGGACACCCACGTCCACGCACTGAAAGGGCAGGGGGCGGCGAGGACACTCTCTTCGGAGTGCACTCGGCGCACGAACGCACCGAAAGAAGGGCGTACACTTTAAAATTTCTGGAGCAATAAAAGCGGAGCGAAGGGACTCCGGCGGCGCCACGCAACGCCGCGCCACTGCCAAGCTTCCCCCACCCCTCGCCATTTTTTGACGACGAGGTTCAAGTTATGAGGCGGAGGGTCAACCCGGTCCTCCGTCTCCGCGAGTACCGACCCCGGCTCTGACCGCGTGACCCTCATTTTCCGAGGGCGCCCTCCCCACAGTGGGCCGGAAGACCGGCGGAGGCGGCTAAAACTCGAGACGCGTTTGGAGCCCCAGAGTCGCTAAATGGGACTCGAACCGAACGTGTGACCCCACCAATGGCTTGCTCTCCGAACGAGGAATCCATTGGTGGGGTCACACGCTCGATTCGAGTCCTGTTTAGCGACTCTGGAGCTCACAACACGACTACAGTTTCGGCCCACTGTGCTCCCCCTCGCCCACCCCCGAGTCGGCTCTAATCTCCAGCAGCATCCCTAGGCCCAAATGGAAATAAGACAGCCCGCATCCCAGTCGCGTCGGCCCGGCATTATTCAGCCAGTTATCTCTCAAATAGCTTAGCAGAAAAGGTGAAAAATCACTGCAACCCCGCGTGCCGGCACGGCCCCGCTCCACCCTGCGGGCCCTGCGGGACTGTGGGGGTGGACAGCCCCCCCCCCTCCTTTTTCTTCCCAGGGGGACTCCAGCGCGGCCCGGTGCCTCCAGCATAACTCAGTGCTCAACAGGCGTGGCGCGGCGCATTAATTCTGCTACATTATGATGTTTGCAGAGGCCGGCCGGGACGGCGGGCCCACAGCCAGGCCCAGGCAGCCGGGCGAGGGAGTAGGCGCAAAAATCCCCCGCGCCGCGCCGCGCACAGTGGGCCAGCCGAAGACCGGTGGAGACGGCCAAAACCCTAGACGCGTTTTGAGCTCCAGAGTCGCTAATCAGGCCTTGAACCGAACGTGTGACCCCACCAATGGACTGCTCTCCGAACGAGGAATCCATTGGTGGGGTCACACGTTCGGTTCGAGTCCCATTCAGCGACTCTGGAGCTCTAAACGCGTCATGAGTTTCGGCCGCCTCCACCGGTCTTCTGGCCCACTGTGCCGCGCCGCGACGGAGCCACAGACACGCCGAGGCCAGCGCCGCCGTCTCTCTTCATCTTCCGCATTATTATTTCTCACCGCCACCGCGGCAGGGAAACAGCTGCCGATCCGCGGGGAAATTCCCCTCCGCGCGAGAAATTTCCCTCATGCGGCGACCTTTCTTCGTGCGAGTTATTCACCTCGTGCGAGAAATTTCCCTCAGTGGGAAATTTTCTTCCGGGGATATTTTCCCATGTGCGCTAAACTACTTTCTTTTTGGCGGGAAATTTCTCTCGTGCCCGAAACTTTCTCTGTGCGAAACATTACTTCCGTGCGGGAAGTTTCTCTCATGCGGGGGCGTACCGTAAATGGATCCGTCGTCGAGCAGGTTCCTGTTGAGCTCGCTGAGCTCGCTGAGCTCGGTGCCGCCCTGGCCGGACAGCGAGGACAGACCGGACGGGTGGTCGTAGCGGCGGGGCGGCTTCTGCACGGGGTTCACCATGGTCAGGAGGGACTTCTGCTGCTCAGACCCATCGGCCCTCACATGGTGAGTCACTTCCCCGTTTGGGGACCTGCGGGCAGAGAGAGAGAGTGGTGAGTATACGGAAAAAAGAGACTTCCTGGAACTCTAGGGGTGGGGGAGGGAAAACACAGCGGGCTAGAGAAGACCGCGGAGGCGGCCAAAACTCCAGACGCGTTTTGAGCACCAGAGTCGCTAAATGGGACTCGAACCGAACGTGTGACCCCACCAATGGATTGCTCTCCGAACGAGAAATCCATTGGTGGGGTCACACGTTCGGTTCGAGTCCCATTCAGCGACTCTGGCGCTCAAAACGCGTCCGGGATGTTGGCCGCCTCCAGCGTCAAGGCGATCCTCACCTTCCTTCTGGTGGCGGCTTCTTGCCGATGACGAGGGCGGCGTCGCGGCGCTGCAAGTCCCTGCGGCGGCGCTGCACGCAGCAGAAGAGCAGCACGGTGGCGAGCAGCAGCAGCACGACGCCCGCCACGAGGCCGGCGATGAGGGGCCAGGCCTCGGCCATGGAGCCGCCCGCGCCCACCAGGAGGCCGCCGCCGGCGAAGGAGCGCGACACCTTGAGGGTCACGTTCCGCTCGTCGACGCCGCCGCCGCTCTGCGCCACGCACACGAACTGGCCGCGGTCCTGCGGCCGCACGCCGCGGATCGTCAGGTTGACCCAGCGCATGGTGGACGCCGCCTCCGCCGCGCCCTCCAGCACCACGAAGCGCTGGTCGCCGTACACGCTGCGGGAGTTGTTGCCGATGACGCGCGAGTTGTGCACCCACTGCACCTCCGGCGGCGGGTTGCCGTTCACCTTGCAGCTCAGCGTCACCTGTGGGGCAGGAGGCAGTGGGTCAGCGTCTCGGCGACACGTTGGCCAGACAGACTGCGTGTCCGTATGCACAGTGGGCGCGGCCAAAATCCCGGACGCGTTTTGAGCTCCAGAGTCGCTAAATGGGACTCGAACCGAACGTGTGACCCCACCAGTGGACTGCTCTCCGAGCGGGGAATCCATTGGTGGGGTCACACGCTCGGCTCGAGTCCCATATAGCGACTCTGGACTCGAACCAAGCGTGTGACCCCACCAATGGCTTCCTCGTTCGAAGAGCAATCGATTGGTGGGGTCACACGCTTGATTCGAGTCCCATTTAGCGACTCTGGACCCCAAAACGCGTTTAGAGTTTCGGCCGCCGGTTCCTGTCCTCTGGCACACTGCGACGGGCCTACCTCCTCCGTGTCGGCCTCCAGGATGGTGCCGGGCGGCGGCGCCATGATCTGCGGCCTGCACGCGAAGTCCTCGGGCGCCAGCTCGGACCACAGCTTGCGGTGCAGCTTGTGCGGCTCGGCGCAGGCCGTGGGCTTGGTGTACAGCTTGCGCTCCATGGTCCAGTCGCGCAGCGGGCGCAGGTGGCAGTCGCACTTCCAGGGGTTGTTGTGCAGCACCAGCCCCACCAGCCGGTTCAGCTGGTCCACGGCGCCCAGCTGCAGGTGCTGCAGCCGGTTGCCGTCCAGCTTGAGGTGCGCCAGGTTGGGCACGTTCTGGAAGGCGTGGTGGCTGATGTGCGTCAGCTGGCACTCGGACAGCTCCACCGTCTGCAGGAACGTCATGTTGTAGAACAGCCCGTCCGGCAGCGACGTGATCGGGTTGCGGTTCAGGTACAGCAGCCGCAGCCGCCCGTTGTCGCGGAAGGTGGACGGGTGCAGCGTGTGGATCTGGAAGACCACGACAACATCTCAGTCACAAAATCCGGAAAATAAACATCATCATCTCGTTGACACGTTTCGGCCGCCTCCATGGAGGTCATCCGAGCCTCTCGCCGACGCCTACCTGGTTGGCCGTCAGGTCCAGCTCGATGAGGATCTCGAGGCCGCTGAAGGCCTCCTGGTGGAGGTCGCGGATGCTGCAGTCGCGGAGGAACAGCTTGTGGAGGTTGACGAGGCCCACGTCGCGGAAGGCGTCCCGCGGCAGCATCTGCAGGGGGTTCTGCGAGAGGTCCACGCTCTGCAGCTCCGGGGACAGCCCCCTGGGCACGGCGGACAGCTCGTACGCCACGCACTCGGCCGCCTTCTTGCCGGACACCCACTTGCACTTGCAGGCCGCCGGGCACTGGCTCCAGTCGTCCGACGATGACGTCACCACCGTCGCCAGGCACGCCGTCAGGCACACCGCCAGCGCCGCCCGCACCGCCAGGACGGCGGCGAGCCGCTGCAAGCCGCCGGCCGCCATCACATTGCTCTGCAACAAGGAGAAGGACGCCGTCAAGCACATGCAGTTTACAGTGGGCCAGAAGACAGTGGAGGCGGACAAAACTCTAGACGCGTTTTGAGCTCCAGATTCGCTAAATGGGAGTCGAACCGAACGTGTGACCCCACCAATGGATTGCTCTCCGAACGAGGAATCCATTGGTGGGGTCACACGTTCGGTTCGAGTCCTGTTTAGCGACTCTGGAGCATTTCGAATTTTGGCCGCCTCTACCGGTCGAAAAGTCGAGGTTTTTAGGGGCGGGGGAGAAGCAGGAAAGAAGAGTGCCCCTCGGTTTCTTCGAGAAAGGGAAAAACCCGAACCCTTTTGAGGGAAAGAAAAAAAAGGAAAGTAAATCTGTTCGGGGCGTGAAAAGGTTCCTTCCGTGCGGGCGATCGCCCACGACGCGTTTGGGGCGGGGTGGGGCGGGGAGCTGCTTAGCATGGCGCGGGACTTGAGCCATCAGCTGATAAGGCTCGCACCCCCCACCCCACTGCACCTTCATGGCGTGGCCTTCCCTTACACGTCCTCCAATCGCCCCGCCCCGCCCCGCCTTTCAAAACGTCGGCTGATGCGCTGCCTCGCTACACTCGATACAGTCACTCTGGGTTTGCTGTCCCGACAACCGGAGAGCGCCGAGGACAGCTAACCGAGGCCGGGCAGGTAGCCCGCCGACCCGGACCGGGGATAGCCGGTAATCCCTCGCCGGCCGTGGTGGTGGGATTCTCTGGGACATCTAACCAGGGGCCATCGGGACAGTTACCAAGCTGACTGTAAAAGACGACGTTCGACCCCCCAAAAATAAAGCGCAACAAATAACGACGAGTTGGGCCCAAACTTTTTCAATATCAATTCCGAAAAAAATACATAAAAAGAGTAAAAATGAATCCAAATAAACTCGCCGTTAATATCCCGCAACTCACCCCATCCCTGCCGCCACCCTCACCGTTACAAAGGAGCGTAAAAGCGGCTGCTGTACGCATGGAGGGAGGGGGGAGAGGGAGTGAGGGTGGGGGAGAGAGAGAGAGAGAGAGAGAGAGAGAGAGAGAGAGAGAGAGAGAGAGAGAGAGAGAGAGGGGGTGGAGAGAGAGGGTGTTCGAGTGAGGGCGAGCGAGAGGGTGCGAGCGAGGGGCTCAAGTGGTCGAGACGCAACTTTGTCGAAAATCTGACCAGAATGAGGCACCTCATCATGGCGCCCCTGGCCGGGGCCCTGGCTGCTGCACGAGTGCCGGGGCACTGCCGAGCCGTGGCCAGTTCCGCTGTCGCTCTGTCTCTCTCGCAGCCGCGTGCGGCGCCCCGTGAGTGCGAGAGAGACAGCGCGACGAAGCACTGAAGCCCGCAGGCCGTGGCCAGGCCAGAGCGTTGTGGAGCGTCCTCATCGGCCGAGATGAACACCGGTTCGCCCCGCTCTTTACGACCAAATAAAGTTGGCATCGACACCAGGCCCAACCGGGCGGGGCGGGGCGGGGCGGGGTCACCGGAGGGGGTCGCGCGTAAACGAAGCCATCCGTTAGGGCGGCTTGTAGGAGCCCCCCGCCCCTATGGGGGTCGTGTCTCGTCCACCGCTCTGCATGGGGGATCATTGCGGCGAGCCCAGCGCACAGTGGGCCAGAAGACTGGCGCAGGCGGCCAAAACTCCAGACGCGATTTGAGCTGCAGAGTCGCTAAATGGGACTCGAACCGAACGTGTGACCCCGCCAATGGATTCCTCGTTCGGAGAGCAATCCATTGGTGGGGTCACACGTCCGGTTCGAGTCCCACTTAGCGACCCAGCAGCCCAAAACGCGTGTAGAGTTTGTCCGCCTCCACCGGTCGTCTGGCCCACTGTGCGCCGTGCATCTGATCGGCGTGCGCGGCCTGCGTCGCCATCGTCATTTCGCTCCGTCGTAAACTTTCCAGTTTCATTTTATTTCGGCGGCACGGCCGCGGCGGTGTCGTGTCGCTGGCGGCGGCTGGCGGCTCGGCCGGGGCGCCGGGGGCGGCGTCGAGACGCATTTGGGACGTCTCTGCACGCCAGGCAGGCAGCCAGCCAGGCAGCAGACTGATTCCGAGAGTCGTCGCTCTGTCTCTCTCGCACCAATGACGACCCCCCACGAGTGCGAGAGAGACAGAGCGACGGAAACGGGCGCAGCCGGCGGCGCCACGCGAGCCCTAGCTATCCAGGCCCTATCGCGACAAGGGCACGGCAAAAAGGGACAAACCTCGTTTTAATAAAAGAAACAAGAAGACTGCGCGCGACACGGGGGGGACTCGCAACTTCGGCGGCTTTTATAATTGGAGGACACTGCTTCAACGTCTACGGCAAGCAATACGTAAAAAAAGTTAAATTGCTACTTGTTACTCCTCAAACGTTCAAAATGAAGTATTTTTTTGAAACTTCTAAATTGAAGCCTAATTGTTGTCGATAGTAGGTATGCAATTTCAGTGCTTTCAGCGCACACGCTTGCCTTCTAAAAAAAGGCAAAAAAAAAAAAATAAAAAAAAAATGGGCCCACAGAATTTGATATTTGATTAAATTATGGAGGAAGTTGCCCATCACGCGGTACTGTATTAGTAATACAACTCCATCTCCGCGCCACCAGAAACAACTGAACTTTCCGCCATTAGTACATTGACCCTGCCTTTTTCCTGCTTTAGTATTCCAGGCCTCCAGTCTGCCTGTCTGTCTGTCTTTCTGTCTGCTGTCTCCCCAGTTCAAACTTGTTATTTTTTCGGGGAGCCCAGTTCCAAACTCGAGTATGTGCCCGATTGGCACACTGGTAACCGAGAACATGAGGCAGCCGGCTCGGTGAGGGGTAAGGGGGGGGGGGAGGGGGAGGGGGGGGGAAAGGGGCGGGGGGGGGGGGGCTGCAGGCTTCGGTATTGGTAGCACGTCCCGGAGTAAACTCCGGCACCAATAATTCCTGCAGCGACGTGATCCTGGAACCCCGCCCTTCCTTTCAGCGGCGTAAGTACGCCAACAAATACGCGCTGGGCTCGGCCAGAAAAAAAAGGGGGGATGAGTCACGGCGGGGGAAGGGCAATCAAATTCATCCCCGGCGAAACCATCTACTACCAGTGTGGGAGTTCCACCTTCCGCCGCAGTGAGCGGCAAATGCACCGATTGCAGTGTCGCAGTCGCACCTGCGATGCACAGTGGGCCAGAAAACCGGCGCAGGCGGCCGAAACTCTATTCGCGATTTACCTCCACGAGGAAATGCCGCCAGTTTACCTACTGACCTCCGCCTGTCAATGACGACCTGACGGGTTGGCGGCTGTCAGGGCTGCTTTGTCATTCGGCAGTGCAGCCTGGATCTCAATTATGTAAACGGACGACCCGCGGGACGACCGGGTATGCAGTGCAGTGGTCACGGCGAAGGAAAGTCCCAGGCGTTGATTCGAGTTCTCGAAGTCAAGTTTGTGGGTGCCATTGCGCGGCAGCGTCGCTCACTGTCTTTCCCGCGGACTGATCCCGAGAGCCGCTTTCGTCACTCCGTCTCTGTCGCACCCATGGAACCGGCCGTTTGGGTGCGAGAGAGACAGAGCGACGGAAACGGCTCTCGTAGTCAGTCCGTGGCTCTCCCGGCGCGGCGACAGCGGGCCCGAGGCTTGGATCTCCCTCCACTTAGTGACAATTAGAGCAAGACGGCCGTACTGCAGCAGACTCATTCCGAGAGTCGTCGCTCTGTCTCTCTCGCACCTGTGCGGTACGCCCCTCACGAGTGCGTGAGACAGACAGAGCGACGACAACGACTCTCGGAATCAGTCTGCTGCAGTACGGCTTGCATCGCGTTGTCCGCGCTGTCTCCCCGTCCGTCCAGGCCGAGTCTGTCCTGTCGCCGATACCCCGTGCCTCTGGTGCGTGCTGCGTGCTCGGGCGAGATTTCCGCCTGGGGGTCGCATTCGTGTTGACACGTCCATGTGGGTCGTGATGGAACCCGATGTGGTGAGGCGGCAAGGCCTCCAGAGCGATCCCAAAGGTGGGCCTCTCTCTCTCTCTCTCTCCCCCCTCTCCCCCCCCCCTCTCTCTCTCCCCTCTCTCTCTCTCTCTCTCTCCTCTCTCTCTCCCCTCTCTCTCCCTCTCTCTCTGGGCCCCTTCCCCCCCCCTCTCTCCCCCTCTCTCTCCCCTCTCCTCCCCCCCCCCTCTCTCTCTCTCCCCCTCTCTCTCTCCCCCTCTCTCCCCCCCCCCCCCCCCTCTCTCCCCCCCCCCCCCTCTCTCTCTCTCTCTCTCCCCTCTCTCTCTCTCCCTCCCTCTCTCTCGCACTCACAGTGTGTAGCGTGCGAGAGAGACAACGAGAGGCGGCCTGATCCTGCCGTGTTTGTCCGCGCCACTGCCCGGCCTGGACTCGGTGGAAGGTCCCTAAGGTGACGTTGATTAAGATCCAGGTATTAGACACACCTTTCCTTATCCGACTGCGAGGCTGGGAGGGGCTCGGCGAGAGCCCGGCCCGGCCCAGCCCGGCCCGGGGCCGACATCGGCGCCGGCGGCTAAAAAATGGCACCGTGCGCTCGGATGCCCCTCACCCCGTACACCCCCTCCCTCCCTTTCCCACCCCCTCCCTCTTCCCCCCTCTCCCCTACCCCCTGACCCCCAGGCAGCATCGCACCGCCAGCGAGCGAACGGCCGAAATTGCCCGCGAGCGAAATACCGACCAAAATTCCGGCAAAGTTGTGCCAGTGCTCCCTCACCTCGCGGAGCCGTACTGTACTAGCAGTGCAGGGCCACATAAGCTCGCTGAAATTGCCGCGATGCGCCTGTGTACCAGTGTCGAAAGGGTTGCCAACCTCAGCCTTGCCAAGCCCAGGTAGGCTGAGGTCGGCAACCCTTTCGACACTGGTGCATCGTGCATCGCACGGCAACCCATTGGTGGGGTCACACGTTCGGTTCGAGTCTTGTTCAGCGACTCTAGAGCTCAAAACGCGTCTATAGTTTTCGGCCGCCTGCGCCGGTCTTGTGGCCCACTGTGCGCCCCCCTGCCTGGTCCACTGGTCTGTCTGCCTGTCTG